AGGCAGGCTTAGGGAACGGTGTGGGAATTCTCTGCACGTGGCAGACGTGAGCTGTAGGAACAATGGGGAAGGGAAAGAGAGAGGCCAGGATGTGGGCTGGGGCAGCCTCGAGGAGCGTGCAAGGTGACAGTATCCACAGGGGCAGGTGCAGTGTGGGGCAGAAACTAGGAAGGGGCTGGGGGAGACGACAGGTTGGCACAGGCAGGTGGGAAGAGGGCCCAGTGGGGGAGGGGAGGAGGGAGCCATAGAAGGTGCTGGAAGAGGAGAGTCCTGCATACTGTAGACACTGAGAGGAAAAGGAGAGGCAAGGACAGTGGGGAGCGGGGGAGGTGGGACTGGGGTGCAATGAGGGCAGTGGGTGGCTTTCCCAAGGGCCAGCTGCCCAGCGTTGGCGGGACACCCACAATCATGGATCACCTAGGCCTGTGGTAAGGCCCCCTGTGTGTTCTAACCTGATTGGCATTTGGCGAGGTGGGTACTGGGGCTCTATTGGAGAAGGCAACCTTCCACCTCCTTATTTCAAGGAAGAGCAAAGAGAAAGGCAGAGCCTGTAACACCCGGAGAGTTGCTGACCTGTAGTGCAAGGTCAAAATCAGCTGACAGGAAACCCTTCACACCTGTAGCTGTAACAGCTTGTGTGGAGCCAATAGCTTTAGGGAGCGTGGTGGTTAATGGGAGAAAGTAGCGCCAATCATGGAGGGCGTCAGCGCAGCACTGAGCCAGCTTCCCATCTTCAGGGGTCAGGTGCTCATCTACTTGGGGCGTTACCTGTGCATCTAGGTAAGGAGGGCAGGTGTACACCCCTATCTACTTTGGCACCCTCTCAAAACCTGGCTAACATGAGAGCTTTTAAGGTGTAAATTGCAAGGGATGGGGAGATGGAAGAGGAGACAACAATGCAATTTAAAAGCCAGAAAACACAGATGTGCAATGAAGGACTCAGCTGACCCAAAACCTGAATTCTAGCCAGAGTGTAGGAAGCTCAGAACCAAGGCAGTCCACACCCCAGAACCTCCCGGAACTGGTAGACTCAGTTTCCGCTGGAAATGGGAGAGGGGCCTGAAACAAGGTAAGAAGTGTGTTTCAGAAGCTGGAAGACCCCCTGAGCCCTGCCCCGACTCTGAGAGCCAGGGAACGCTCCCCTCCTCTGGATAAAGCCTTGAGTTTTATTCTCTGGAGAGTGTAAAAGAAGGTCTGCAGGCCAGGAGAGAAGGCCTAGCTGCGGAAGGGTTCCCGTACCAAAAATAAGTCCTAAGAGACCCTATGTCTACAATGCCAGGAGCCTCCTCCCCTAAGCCCCCAGGGGTTGTTGGCCAAGGCAGACCCTCCAAGCAGGGGGTGGGAGCATCTTCCTGGGGGAAAATAGCTAATGTCCTCATCAAACTGTGGGACCATGCAGCCTTCTAACACCGTGGGAATGGCTGCATGCTGCACCTTCTCAAAGCTGGAGGGGCTGCTGCGCCATCCTCTTCCCACAGCACCTACCCACGGTCACCAGCTAGTGAGCGCAGAGCCACATTCGAGCCCAGGTCTGCTGACCCCACAGTAGACAAACCCTCAGAAGCCCAGGATATCATGGTGGATGGAAGCCAAGTGCTCCTGTTGGAAAGATGCTGAGGACCCAGAACCCCGAGGCCAGGCTCCCTAGTACCTCCCGGAAACCTGGAGTCAGGGAGCAGTTTGGAAAACCCAAAGGTCTTATAGGATCAAAACAGCCTCTTTAGTGCTTGTGGTTCTTCAACATCAGGGGTCCTCCACACCAGTGTTCTGTGTCCATGCTGTTCCCTCTCCAGAAATTCCCTTCCCCTCCATTCCACCATCCACATCCCAAACATTGCCTCCCTGAAAGGTCTTCCGAGACTCCACAGCAGGTCACCCTCTGCAGGGGCCGCTCACACTCTAGGGGCATGCCCTTGGCGCCTTGGGCCTGAGCAGCTGCTGAGGACAAGGCCAAGTCCACCCTGGCTGAAGCCCATGCCCAGGGCCAGGCAGAGACTCGGTTTGGAACCGATCTATGACCCAGAGCTGCTCTCTCCTCTGTCGCCCACCAGTCCCCCGACCAGGAGCAGAGGTCTCTGCTGAGATACAGCTCATGGAGGGATCCCCTCACCCGCACCCCCGTCCCCACCTTCCAAAGCCCCTCTGCCTCCCCACACCCCCCGCCACCACAAACCCACCTGCAGCGTGACGCTGACCTCTGGAGCCCTCTTCCCACCCATGTGGTTTTCGTGGTTCTTCAGACCAACCAGGAGCTCCACAGAGCCCACAGGCAGATGAACATCATCAGTTCCCTGCAGAGCTCACTAACGAAGAAGCAGAACTGAAGACCAGCATCTGCGAGCACCTAACTATTCGCCTTCTCAAGCATCAGTGCTTCTCAACATTGCTGCTCCTTGGAGTTATCTGGAGGCCTTGAAAATAAGTCCTGAGGCCATGCCATGTGGCATTAGGGAGAGGCTCTAGTTTAATCGGTGTGGGTAGACCAGGCTCCCCTGAAGTGTGATGTTTCAGTGTCAGGAAGGATGACAAGCCAGATGAACCCTCAGAAGGGAAAGAGGCAAAGACCACTGGCCAACGGCGGAGGCAAGACTAAGATACCCGGCACCATGGGGACATCTCACATGGGGACGGACATGGCAAGTCACTCCATGGGCGTCTCCTTCCTTCACAGTCCTGGCCTCTGCTGGTCACCTGCCACAAGGCAGCTAGGGCAGGGGCCTCAGGCAGCACCCCCTCCACTCCCAGCCCCCAGCTCCCTAGCCAACTCTCATGCCCCCGAATGATGTCATCTCAACTAGCAGAGGTGACACTTCAAAATCCATCTTGCCCACACCCCAGCATCTGTGTGCTGATGTGGATGGGTCCCCCATCCCCAGTGGGGCCTCAGCAAAGGGGACCCCTCTCGGCAAATGTTCTGCACAACCCGCTTGTGTGTGCTGCCACCTGCTCTAGGTCCCCACAGCTAGCAGCTGGAGCCCTCTAGACACACCAAAAGCCCCCAGGCATCCTAGACCTTGTCTGACTCAAATGAGAGTTGGAAATCAGGCCCAAAATTTTTAAGAATTTTCCTTTGTTCATGTGTCAGATGGGAGCTCCAGATTGGTCTCCAGGGCCAGATTCCCAGGGAGGTCAAAATGTGTTGACAGTTCAGGTTGAATGTGACTGGAAGCCTCAAGTCTCACCCTGGGAGAGCTAGAGCCCCACCTGACACAACAGTGTGAAATGGTGAGGTGCCACTGCAAGGCGAAAAAGCCAAGCACACAAGCTTAAGCAAAAAACAAAAAAACCCAAGAATTTGTTGTCGTCTCACATAACTGGGAAGTGCAAGGGTGGATTGCCTTCAGATCTAGCTGAATCCAGGAGCTCTGAAAAGGGCATCAGAGAGCTCTCTCTTCCTCCTCCCCCACCTCCACCTTTCTCTCTCCATTTCTCAGCTCTGCCTCCCTCCAGAATATCACCACTCTCTCCTACTGCAGATGGCTTCCTCCCGTATCCAGGACAGATGGCCTGGGGCATCCCCCATTCCATAACCCCCAATCTAACGACCCCAGCAGGGAGACTTCTTCTCCCTGACCCTAAGAGAGAACTGATTTGCACGTGCCTGGTCATGCGGGAAGGGGCGGAGCACAATGACTTAGACTTCTAGAACCATACTTCAGGGGAAGGGTAATTCCACAAAGGAGGTGTGGGTTCCACATGTGGGATCAGGGAGAGACCTGAGAAGGAAGAGTCCACCCACCCACCTGCTGCCCAGGAAGGTGAGTGAGGTCTGTACCCGCAAAGGGGACTCATCAGAGCTCTCAGAACAGACACGGCTCCCACTCACAGTCAGAGTGGACTTTTATTAGGAAATCACCCTGCAAACACCCAGAAGTGCTGTGCTGTGGGTTCAATGCGTTTCCTGAGGAAGGAGGGTCACAGTATCAGAGCTGTCAGAGGAACAGGGAGCCTGTGAGCAGGCGACTGCTCGGTGCAGCCTGCACTCCCTCACAGCGACACGACGCAGCCATCAAGAACGGGCACGCAGACACGACACGAGGGACACGCCAGACCACAAACCTCTGTGCTGCACTTAAATAAACAACAAACACAGAGCTCCACTTGCTGTCGTCCGTGCCTAAAACAGAAGGAACCGAAAGGGATACAGAAAACCAAAAAGTCTCTCTTTCCATTGGACCAAGGCAAAAACATTCCCAAATTACCAAAATGCCTCAGTTACAAAATACTTTTTAAAAACTCCATTATTAAAAGAATAAATAAAATATATAAAAAATAACTTGGTCATGTCAAAATTATAACTAGAAGTTATAGCATGATTTTTTTGTGTGTGGCCTATCTCATAGTCGAATACTTCATTTTGCTTTGATTTCATTTATTTCCCTCTCATGGTGTCCCGGTATGGGGTCTAGTTGAAATAGTATAAAATTAATAAATAAAAATGTTAAATAAATAACAAACGTTAACATAAGAGGTTGTGAATATAAATACTTACATCTTGACAAAATTAAATAATTTACAGAATAAACTAACTACTTTTTTATTTCTTCCAGGAAGTGCAATTTCTCTACTTTTAAATACTAACTTGGAATTGCAGTCACAATCGATCTGGACTCTATTTACATGTTAGGAACATTGTGTTTTTAACACATTAAATTAAAATTTACCTTTTTTTGCATCTTGAACGGATCTAAAAAGAAGTAAAACCTTGATGGTCTCCAATTAGAAATGTATCCCCTGACCTCGCTAACGCTGCCCCCGCCTCGGTCAAGGTCAGCCATGACCCGAGTAATTAGGCAGTGACAGGTCATGGGCCTGGGTAGACACACAGAGAGCCAGAGGCCCTGGCCCTGACCCAAACCTGGGTGTAAAGGCCACAGCCCCAGTAGGGAGGGTGACCCCAAGCTGCACGTGTCTATGCAGGTGTGGGGGGCCGGCCGCCCCAGACATGTGGGCTGTGATGTGTAACCGGCGCTGACTCTCGGGGCGTCCCAGGGAGACTCCTGGAGCTGACACTGGGCTGCAGGCCTCTTCCTAACTTAGCCTCCAGAACAGCGCGTTATTCCGTCCTTAACACAAAACTGAATTAAATGGAAACAGAAAACACACTTGCCACATTGGCCTCACGAGCAGACGCACGCCCCTGGGCGCGTGCTCCAGGCTGACACCCTCACACGCACCACCCACCTGTGCCCGCTGCTGCCCTCCCCGCCTGACAGACGAATACTGTGGTTGCAAACTCCAAAACTTCCCTGAGAACCTTGTCCATGAGCTTCCGCTGGAGACTTCGAGCTGCTCCTCAGATTTCTTTCAGAAAACAAAAATAAATCACTTTGTAATACTTCATGCCCCGCCCTGCACTCGAGAGGGGTGGTCGAGGCCTCTGGCCTGGCAAGCGCATCGCATCACGGGAGACACTGATTTCCAGGCACCCTGTTGGATAAACCACCTGATGCTGCCCCAGCTGCCCGCCAGAAGCCACTGGAGTCTGGGACTCTCCACTGGGAGGGCAGGAGAGGGAGGTAAACAACAGAGCCAAGCTGGGGTGCCCAGGCACCTGGGATCAGCAGGGCAGCTTCTCAAACAAGGAGGCCTAGACCTGGATGTCCCTCACGGCCTGCTTGATGCTCTCCAGGAGGTCCTTGTTCTCGGGGTTCTGGTAGCTCTCCTGGTTGGAGTACATGTCGGTGAGGGTGCTCACGTAGGCATCAAAATTCTGTTCACATATTGGCTCCTGGAGAACATAACCAGTTTACAAGCCCCGTCTGTGCAGTGGGCCCCATGGTTTTCAGAAGCAAAGGAAATCAATGGGGGAGCATCCAGTGCATCTCCCCACACCCACAACCACCGAGGACAGCGCTGGCTGCTCCACCCTTGGGCTGAAACAACCATGAGCGTTCTGCTGCAGATTCATAAGCTATCCAGGAGAGCTAGAGCTGCAGTGGCCAGCAGCAGAACCCCAGGGTCGGGGCCCTCCCATCAGGACCGCAGAGGCAGAGGGATGCCCTGCCCTCCTTGCTCCGACCAGAGCACTGGGCGGCAGCCACCAGCTCAGCTGCAGGGCCTGCGGGGCCTGCAGGGCCGCATCCTGCTTACCATGTGCGGAAGGCGGATATTGGCGAGACTTTGGATGAGGGCCTGGCTCAGGCCTGACAGCTCCAGAAACAGGGCTTCGTTCTGCTCCTCAATGAGCTTGTTCTCCTCCTCGATGTTCTTCAGGCTCTTCTCCATGGAAGAGATCTGCACCAGACAGAGAAGGGAAATGCCTCCTGAAATGGGGGCCCATCGACCGTCTCCCTCGCGTCCTCCTGGGAGTGCACTGGGCACGTTCACTGGGCCACGTCTCACATCTGTCCAGGAAAGGGTGAAGAGGCAGAGACCCTGCCTCCCTGGGGGTCCCTGCCACAAGTGAAGGGCTGGCAGTGCCCTGGTCCCTGGATGGAGGAGGGGACGTGGAGACTGAGCCAGGAGCTGTGTGGGGCCATGGCTTTCTGTGCCACATCTGTCCTACAGGGCTGGGGAGGAGCACAGCTCTAAAGCACCCTGGGCTCAGATCTTGGCCCACCACTGTTCCTCCATGCTTCCTATTCCTTGTCTGTAATGGGAAGACTGCACCCACCTTGTAGGGGGTCGGGCTGCCTTTGGGTTTTCCACCACCAGAAAGACCAACAAAGGGCCTCACTAAAGCTGTGGAAGGCAAGAAGAGCAGGCAACCGCATCCCCCTCTGCAACTCGTGGCTGAGTGGAGCCAGCCCACGACTTCTCCAGCGCACCCGGAGAATGCCCAGGGATTTCCAGCACAAACGCTTCTCCTCCTCCAGACTCAACAGGGCACCAGGAGGGAATCCTGGTCAAAAGCCCAGAAGTTTCTCCCAAGGGGGCTCTCAGGGTTCCACGCTGGAATCCCAACGGACGGTGACAACAGAACTGACGGCCCTGGGCGGCTCAGGCCACAAGGTGAGTCTCAGGGTCAGTGTAACCCTGTGCAGAGGTTCACGGCCAGGGTGGGGAAGGCGGGGCACCTGCCCGGAGCCTGGCCTGGAGAAGAAAGGCCTGGGAGGGCAGCCCCATGCCTGACTCACGTTAAAGGAGACTTGGGGCAGAGGCAAACTGACACACTGTGTGACACACCAAGCCGTCCCCTAGATGCAGGGTGGTGAGCGGCCTTTTAGGAGGCTGTGGACGGAATTGAGTGCTTTCCTCCAACCACATGGCTCTGTGACCTCTGGCTGGGGAGCATCACAGTTTCTTCACCTGGTGACAAGCCTTTGGCTTTAAAAGGTTTGAGTAGGGTCAGGGGCTGGCCTTCTCTTCTCCTGAGCCCTTCTGCAGAGCACACAATTGAAAACTCCCTCCAGGGGAAGGGGGCTCCGAGTCCTTTCAAAAGGATGCTCGTGAATAATCTGTTTTTAAAAAGGTGGGCATTGTCAAATAAAGAGAAATTAGAGGTGCCGCCCCAAGGGTACTGACACTGGAGGGTCCTTGGACTTTGAGAAGCAAAGGAGCAGGGAGGGACAGAGGGAGACAGCAACACAGCGATGTGTCTCAGTGCCCAGAGACAGCCCCGGCATTCCTTCTCTGCTTCTACTGCCTGTGAACCTAGAGAAGACGCTGCACGGCAGAGGGAAAATCCTTCCTGACGCCACGTGCTGATGCTGTTTTCACACAGGCTTCTGAGTGACAGGAGGGTAGTGCAGAAGCTTGTTTGCCAGGAGGAAGGAGCAGCCCAAGCCACGTGGGGCTCCAACATGTCACACTGCAGCCTCCAGAAAGGGGCCTCACCATCTTCCCCCCCATCCTCTCTGCACTCATGTCCTGCAGGGCCTGGTCCCGCCTTGTCCCTCTGTCCCTCCAGCCGCAGGGCACACGGCTATGTGTGGCCTCTCCGTCTGCGCCGCCAGCTCTGCTCCAGCCCCTACTCAGCAGCCAAGGGCGAGGCATGGTCTTCTTTTCAAAATAAGACCTTTACTGCTTTTTTTTCTGATTACAAACGTTCATTTGGGGGAAATCAGAGAGCTGTGGTGCATACATTTAGAGTAATTTGTAATCTGTCACTCAGCAACAGCAGCTCTTTCTGGGTCAGACACTCGTGCTAATTGCTTTCCTCATAGAAACACACTCATCTTACAACAGCAAGGAGTAGATTCCTATTATTATCTCCGTTCTACCAGTGAAGTGCAGATTGGTTAAGAAGTTCGCCAGGTCACTTAGCCGGTGTGTGGCAGGGCTGGGGTGGAACCTGGCTCCGGCCCAACTCTTAGAACCCACACTCTGGATTCAACTGACCCACACAGTCCTGCTGACAGGACTAGTAACACTAAAGGACCACTCGCCCTGACGGGACCCCCAGCCGCCAGCACTGCAGGACCCCTAACGCTGGTGGAACTACCAACGCTGGCGGGCGGAGCATATTCGGAGCGTCCCTGAACACTGCACCATGGGCTCAGCCCAACAGTGACTTCGATGAGGCTCGGCTCTTCCTACTGCACAGAAGGACTTTCTGGAGTTGGGAGGGCGGGGGCATGACACCGGGGAGCCATTGGGTAGGGGCAGCACCACCGACCTGAGACTGCAGCTGCACCATGGCGGCCTCCATCTCCGAGTTGGACTCGTTCAGGTCGCGAATCTCCTGGTTCAGCTGCTTGATCTCCTCATCATTCTCCAGCACTGCCCCAGAGAGAAACTTCGGTCATGGCTCTTGGCCTCAAGCCCAGGCCAGCAAGTGGGGGTGGGGCAGAGGCCTGCTTTCTAGACGGACCTAGGGACCCCTTTCCAAGCGGAGGCACCCAGCCTGGTTCTGAGCTCCCTCAGTGGGCAGCTCATAACCCACATTTCATGCTGGCAAAATCGGTCTTGGAGACTACTAGTTGTGTGTCTGTTTGCCTCCTGGCTCTGGCCAGTAGGTCGGAGAGTGTACACCTCTTTGGCAGGTATTAATTGCTAAGATAAAAATGGAAGTTTTTCCAGATGATGCTGAATTTCCTCAGCTTCCCTCTTCGTTGAGTTTAAGTGAGTTCACAACTCCACAAACCCTGAGAACATGGCTTACTGTTCTACCGGCAGGTTCTCTGATGCCAACACTCAACAAGGCCCAGGTCAGAGCAGGCACAGCCACTCAAGGGCCCGGAGCCCAGGGGTTCACAGCCAAGGTCAGGACACCCACTGGCTCAGCTCAAGGGGTCTGTCTCCACCATGGCTCACTCCAGGAGGGCCTTTGCCTGCCTCAGCCCCTTGTCACCAGTCCTGCTCACTCACCCAGGTGACCAAGATCCCACGCAGGGACTACAGGAGGGGCATCCTTACCGTCACTCGTCTTGAACTTTGTGCTGAGAACCTCGTCCCCTGAGAGCTTTCCCTTCTTCCCAGCAAAGGTCGCTCTAGGACAGCCAGACAAGCTGGAAGCAAAGGTCACACATCAAGATCCAGTCTAAGGTCACACACCACAGGCCACGCCAAGGTCATACACCACAGGCACTCTGAGGTCACACCACAGGCCAGTCCAAGGTTACACGCCACAGGCCAGTCCGAGGTCACACACCACAGGCCAGTCCGAGGTCACACGCCACAGGCCAGTCCGAGGTCACACGCCACAGGCCAGTCCGAGGTCACACGCCACAGGCCAGTCCGAGGTCCCACACCACAGGCCAGTCCAAGGTCACACACCATAGGCCAGTCCGAGGTCACACGCCACAGGCCATCCAAGGTCACACACCACAGGCCATCCAAGGTTACACACCACAGACCATCCAAGGTCACACACCACAGGCCATCCAAGGTCACACACCACAGGCCATCCAAGGTCACACACCAGGGGCCAGTCTGAGGTCACACATCACAGTGAAAGCCAAATCCTTGCCGGCTGCCAGCCTGGTAGGATCCTGGTGTGCAACTTTTTAGCTCATCTCCTTTTGCCCCCTGCTCCCTGGCTCAGCCCCCCGGCTCCCTCACTCCTTGTCCAGCAGCCCAGGCTGTTCCTGGCTCGGGCCGGGGCCCTGAAGGTTTGGGTATGGGGAAGCTCCTCACGCCTCCTCAGAGAGGCCTTCCTCACCACCCCCTGCTGCTATCTCCTCTGCCATACCAGGGATTTCGCTCATTTGTGTGTCTGCAGCCTGTCTCCCCGGCCACCCCGCCCACGTCAACTCCAGGAGGGCCATTGTCTCTCTTGTTCTCACTCTATCTCTAGAGCCCGGTACTTGGCGGACTCGCTGTAGAGGCTTGTGGAATGAATGAGTTAATGAATCGCGTAGGTAGAGAGACAAGGGCAAAAAAAAAGGATGGTTTCTGACGGGACCAGGCGGTGAGCCTGTGCACCTCAGCCATCGCCCTGGCTGCCCAGCACAAAGAGGAGGACTGGCGAGGCAAGGCCCCCCAGCCCTGGGGCAGGTGCTGGGGGGCAAGGGAGAGCCGGTCAGCACTGCCCGGGCCCAATGCCCAGGCAGGGAGGGGTCTTGTGACCAGGTCCCTTGCAAAGTGGGCAGAGGCCTGGGCCCAAGGTTCAAAGAAAAGGCCCCGGAGGAGGGGCAGGGCTTGAGGCGTGGCAGACGAAGCTTTTCGTGAGAAGCCGGCAGCCTGTTACAAGGACGCACACACCAGACACGGGCTCTGCTCACTCACACCGGAGGGCCTCCATCGGGATGGGGAAGGAATTTTTGACAGTAGACACATGGGGCGACACATGTCACAGGCACCATCAGGTACCATCTGGTACCAACAGGCTTTCTATGGCTTCTCAGTCGGCTCCAAGCTGGGCCTCCAGAAGCTACAGGTGGCACCTGAGCCCTAGTCTGGCCCCCCGGGGGGCCTTGCCTACAGCCCCAAAGCTTCGGTCCCTACTGGAGGCACAGGGAGGCAGGGCGTGCAGAGACGGTTACCTCCGATGGGTGAGGAAGCTCCCGTTGGCGTGGCCAGAGCCATCACAGCCCGGAGTGGGGCAGGTGGGCCCCTCGTTCTTCAGCGACTTCCAGGAAAATGACGAGCCGTTGAGGGAACCCTCTTTCTGTCTCCGGGCGGCCAGCGGGCAGCCAGACGCACTTCTGTGAGAGGCATATTTTCCACTGATGTGACCGAGCCCCACGCAGCCAGGAACTGGGCACCTGGGCACAGAGGTCAGAGGTGAGCACAGGGGTGCCAGAGGTGGGAGGAGAAGCCCCGAGACTCTCCCGAGCCAGATGCTGAGATCCGCTGGGGGCTCCTGAATAAATTTCCACTGGTGGAGCGAGTCCTGGAGCCTCAGAGAAGAACCTGGGCCTTCTTGACCCGAGGTGAAGGCAGCAGGCACCATGTTCCCTCTCCAGCCTCAGCTTCACGTCCCCTGCACAGCTGGAGGGTCAGTAGCTCCTTCTCTCCCTGTCCCTCAGCAGCCATGACCCCCCCGGTCCCCGGGGCTGGACCTCTGGGCCCACACCTAGACCTTGCTGCCAGTGTCACTTCTGCATCACCGCAGCAATGTGGAATTAAGGTGTCGGCTGAGACCACCCAGAGGCCACTTGCTGGGTGGGGCCTTGCACCAAACACGGGACCCGGGGCACCTGTGGGGTCACAGGGGGTTACAAGTGCACCCTAAGCCAGGCAGCTCAGGGATAGCAGAGGCCCCATCACCCCACAGCTTCCCAGAGGCTGATCATGGCACGATGCCCATGGATGTCCCAGCTTTGCCACATCTGAAACATGTGTTCTGGAAGAAAGAACACAAGGCCCCATAGCTCGTGTGGGAAAGACTGACTCAGACACTCCACAACCATTCCTGCCTGAGGCCGGCTTAGAACAGCATTCTCCTTTGTTCAGGGTGTGAAGGAGAAAGAACCCCTTATGGAAATAATGAACACCCAGGGACAGGTGAGATAACAAGAAAGATTCAGAATGATGTCCCCTCACACTGCCGTGGGAATCCGTTCCACGGCATAGAAAACAGGACAACGCAGAGGGTTGGGACTTCCTTGGGGGGGACCTGGACCAGGAGCTCCCTGCAGCGCCTTCTGAGCACCGACGTCTCAGGATCCTGCGATCTAAGGTCTAGATCAGCTGGGAACAGACACCTGACCAAGGACAGGATCCTCCATCTGCAAGTTCTTAGTCTTCTCCCTCCAACAAAAGAGACTCCTCTAGCTTGCCATTTGTCACCTGCTTTCTATGTGCTGCAGACCTAGCAAACACACAGGACCCCAAGAGGGGACACATCGCCCCACTTTGCAGAGAGGTCCCTAGGGTTCAGAGAAGTCAGAGGCAGGAAGCCCACAGGAGGGCAAAGGTCATTCCAGGGTCTCCTGCTGTGGTGGGGGCGTGGGGGGACGGGGCTGCACTGCACAATAGCAAGGCTGACCCAGACTCATTGCCCCCACACTCTGGCCTCATCTCAGAGGCAGCCATTGCGGACACTTTACCAGCCTCCTCAGCCGAGACCGTCCTCACTTGTTCCTCTCCATTGGCTCTCTTTCCTCTCTTACTCGTCCCCGCATGTGGGCCCCAGATGTGTGGGATGTGCACTGAGCCTGTCCAAGCTCATCTCAGCCACCAGCCCAGAGTGGAGACACTGCCGGGGCCGTTGCAGGGCCTGGGGGACGTTCCATTCTGGGTCTGCCCCCAAAACTGGACACCTCCCAGCTGAGGGGCCCAAGAGACACCTGGGCCGGGCACCCCAAGGTGCCTGTGAGGCCTGACATCACAAGATCAAAAGGACAAACGGGAGGCAGGTCTTCACAGTTACAACACACAGTTGACTCTAAACTCTCTCTTGCCACTTTCTTTGCAAAGCCCTAACCCTCCTCATCAGGAGGGGCTGCTGGTGTTTCCCTGGAATTACATCGTAGTGAGTATTTCAAGCAGGTAACACTGCTTCTTTCCCTCCACACCCAGGTCCAGATCTGCAGAGCTGCCAGGTGACCTCGCGTTAGGGCCTGTGTGGGGCGCCATGTCGGGCAGCTTCTGTGCTCCCCAGGCAAGCTTGTGGTGGGGTGCAGGGGCAACATGCTGCTGGGACCCCAGTCAGAGGCACGTCTTTTTGTCAGATGCCAGCATGGCTGGGGACAGCTAGGGGCCTCTCCACGGGCAAGGGGCATTCAGCTCCCGACCCCAGTGCTGGAACCTCTGCAGACTTTTATTGCCAGTTATTTAGTTGTGGCCACAGGGATTTACCACAAAGTGCTGACATGACTTAATCTCAAGCAGTGCAGATACACGACGTCATAAAAGGAAATACTACTTCCATCAGCCCTTCCAAAATCACAGCTAGTGCATGCTAACAAAATCCCATCACACAGCAGGACCTGACACACCTATTAAAGTTTCTGCTGCAGTCTGCACTTGTTTCAAGACGCTAGTCAATTATAAATATGGTGAAAGTTTATGGCTAGGGAAGAGGGATTATAAAATGGAGCCACTAAGTCGGCAGTCTCCCCTCCTTGCCATGGAGACATTAGGAACTTCACCCATCCTGTAAATGCTGAACTGTTTCTAAAAGTCACATTCTCCACTTGGCTGCAGAAATCTTGTTCTTTAAAAAGCAGAGTTGACAGCACATTAGGAAGAGGAAAACCATTTTTCCCAGTTAACTTGAAAATTGCTGATCTTGTTTTTAATCATTTGCAAATGCAGCACAATTCACTTATAATATCCCTACCAGCAGGATCCTTACTAAATTCATAATAGCATTGCATTTATTTGATCACAGGCAAATTCCTGGATTCTCAGAAGGAAAAATACTCTTTATCTACCCTAGCATTTGTAGGTAGCATTCACGAGACCAACAACTACGTACTTTGCATTTTTGATTTAGCATTCTTTACAGTTTCATTGTAAAAATTAAATAAGCCACAGCCTTATTACACCAAACAGCTGGTGGGGCTGTCCCCTTTGAAGGGGGTGATGTTGGTCAAATAAGCTCCTCCTCCATGGCTGAGCAGATGTATGTGTGCAGCTGGGTGAGCTCCAAGGAGAGCGCCCGCATCTCAGGTCAGGTGGCTCCCTCTGCAGGGGTGAGTGTCTGGCTGTTCCTGGCCCACAGGTAACACAGTCAGGCACACCTGCTTCCTGTGGACCTGCCAGGCTCGCCCTGACCAAGCCAGCCCCATGAGGCAGCCAGAGCCGTTCCCTTCCACTCCTCACCTGCCAAGGGGACCACTGCCAGCTTTGCCCAGTGTCAGCTCTGAAACTCCAGAGCACATTGGACAGTGGGTCACCCTGTTTACACCTGTGGCAGAGCCTTGCCCCCACCTGCAAGTGGGGAGTCAGGGGGCAAGTTCCCTTCTGGAAGGATAAGCTTGCAACAAGCCCCCACAGAGTGGAGCACACACAGGGTCAGAGTTCATGCAAAGCCCCCTGATAACATGTCAGGCCTCCTCAGTGAGAAGGTCAGTAGAGGGTTTCAGGGACTTCGATCACTTAAAGCCCAGAAGGTCTCTCCTTCTCACAGCAGTGTCGAGGTCCCAGTTCAGGGTGACCCTCCTGGGGTCCCTCACTCCACACCAGCTGTCTGCGAAGGTGTGTGAGCATGCAGGTGTGTGGGACGCAGACACACACGGTTTGAAAATTCGTCGTCTTTCTAATCATCCTCTCTTCCTTGACCTTTCCCCCCAGACCAAAAAAGTGCAGACTGCAAGGCCCATGAGCACCCAGGACCCCCAGGGGCACAGGCAGCAGGGCGTTTTGCTTCTCCCAGGCCCATCAAACACCTCCAGACCTAAGAAGCCCAGACAGGGGCCAGTGTCTGTGCCGTCAGTACAATGCAAGTGGCTCGTGCCTTCATAGGTGTCCACATGCATGGTATGAGAACTTCTGTAAAAATGGGTATTGTCATTGATCAGCCATATTAATGAAAATGGAATCTAGAAGGAACTTCTTAAAAATATGAAATACAGGAAAATCCCAATTCTGTAAAGGAGCAAAGGGGCCAGCAGGACCCTGACTTACTTCATCAGCTCAGGGTCTTCCTTGTCGTCCTTCGTGGGCGTCACCTTGGCTCCACTTTTCTTGGCACGAGGGCAGCCTGACAAGCTAGTTTTGAAAGAGGAAAAATTGCTGCAGTAGTTCACACCCACCTGCCTCACCTCCTCCCAAGTTCTGTGATCAACAGCCCGGAAGATCCCAAGGAACCTTTTGCCAGCGAGCGCTCTACCAGGCAGTAGGGCCACGGACAGGAAGCGTCACTATGAGCCCCAAGCTCTGGCTGCAGGAGGAAGCCTGAGCAGGCTCCAGGAACGTCAACAATTCAGATTAAAGAGATGAAACAGGCTTTAATTGCCAGCAGCATTAATGTCTTATTTGGAGTTTTACAACTTCATCTAAGGAAGAAACCCCCCACCACTGCCAGCCTGGCACCCCAGGGCATGGCAGGCTCACCTCCGGTGCGATGCGTAGTTCCCCGTTATGTGGCCAGAGCCGTCACAGCCAGGTGTGGGGCACCTGCGGAGAACAGAGGAGCTGGGACCAGAGCCAGTGAAGACACTTGGCCACAGAAAGATGCCCTCCCTGCTCAGCTCCTCTGTGGGCCCACCCACCTCCCCAGCGCTGAGGACTTACAAACGGCGGTGTGTCCGGCCAGCCTGCTGCCACCACCTCTGGGCTTCAGAACTTTGACACCCAGTCTCCCTAAGGGGGCCCAGGAAGGCCAAGAGGAGAGCACGTCACCACTGCAGGGATGATGGACTCCCACCTTGGCCTTCTGCAAGGTTCTAGACTGGACTAGAAGGTTCCAGAACACACATGGGCCTTAACTTTAAACATGATCACTCAGAAAGGCAAACCTAACCCCTAAGACAAGTTCATCTTCCTTGATGCTTCTGGGAGGAAGAGGGCTTGTGCTCACAGAGGGGAAAGAGGGCTTGCTCTCATGAGGGGGAAGAGGGCTTGTGCTCATGGAGGGTTGCCACCGTTAAGAGCAAATGAACAGATGTCGACTGGGCACCCACGACATGCCATCCCCAGCGCTGGTCACGTCGGAGCATGATTCTTACTTAGTGAGTGCAGAATTTGCACAGCAGGGGGCTTTGGAGGGGTGGCAGGCACTGGCCAGGGTAAGGAGGGGAGACACAGAACACAAAAGGCCCACTTTATGCACCCAGAATGTTTGGTGAGCACATCACATAGAAGGTAAAAATTTCACTTTACTATACGAGCGTGAGTTTTCTTAAGTTATTTTTCCCTGAATGTCCACCAAGGAAAAGGGAGTGAGTTCCTGCTGGTGTCCGCGTGGGGAGGTGCGCCTGATTCCGCAAGTGGATCCTTGGGAAGCCTCCTCCTGAGCAGGCGTGTGGCTTCGCACCTTGTCCCTCGTGAGGGCACGGCTCCAACCCTGCGGGACCTGGCAGGGTTGCATCTGGAGAGCCTGCTATTCACAGAGCGCTCATCTGCCATTTCTGGTTTCATCCACACAGAGAATCATGAGAGCCGAAGCCGTTCCTTAGTACAAAAGTGACCCCAAGAGGGTCGTGGGGACTAACGCCAGCTGGAACGGGACACAGGTCCTTGCCTCTCTATCAACAGAGGGCTCTGTGGTGCTCAGGTCCCTGTGCTGTGCACGAGGCCCTTCCTCAGTGTCCTCCTTCACCGTCACACGCTGCGTCTGGCGTTGGGGGCAGAACAGAGGAAGCCAACACAGCCAAAGAACCCCCCGCAGCCTCTGGGCCTCTGCTCAGACCCCCGCAGGCCGACACTGCCCATTCCCCATCAGAGAAACCCTGAGGCCGGCACAGCAACTGGAGGGCTCGATGCCCAGGGGTCTCCTCTCGCCCCTCCCTGCCCAGTTCCTTCTCCAGCCCCTGGACTTTCTCAAGGCACCCTCCTCATCCCTGCCCCGGGGGCCACACATCAAACGCCTCCCTGGCCTGTCAGCAGGCCAACTGGTCAAATCACCCTCCTGTCGGGTTTTGGGGTAATTCGAGCCCCATTGAAGTTATGATGGCTCCTGCCCCAGTCATCTGTGATCACATTTCAACCCACACATGCCTGGTACAAGGAGGTTTTTGCATTTTAATAGAAACCACTCACCACCACCATTTGGGTAGGCTTCACCCTTTCAAACAAACCCTAAACTGCTGCCACACTCCTACTCTGGTGCTTTGTGTTTCTGCATTGTCCGAGGTCCAGGGTGCAAGCTGCTTGGGATGGCCCCTCGGGACTGTGCTGTGGGCACCGGGTCCTTCGGGCACCGCAGGGTGTCCCTCACACAGCTCTCTGTGTTGAGGCCAAGGCCCCCCTGGCGCCCCACTGCCTCTTCCTCAGCTCAGGGTGCCCTGCCGAACGCTCCTGTGGCCAAGATAGTAGTGGCCAAGCTGTTCCTGCTCTGGGGGGCCAAGTACAGAGTGAGGACACGCTTCTCCCTCCCGGGTTTGCAGCCGCTTAGGCGGCCTTCCGGGGCTCTGCTCCTTCTCAGCTTCAGGGAAACGTGTGACAGAACTCAGAGGCTCAGCACTGCAGGCAGTGGCCAGGACACCACGGCCCCTAGCAGCCCTAGCCGTCGAGTGCCCAAGTGCCACTCTGGACTGTGGGTAACACCCCACAAGGTGCAGCCCCGGATGCTGTCTGTGAGTGAGTCTGGGGAGGGGGGAGAAGGCGACTCAGCAACAACACGCACATGGGGGCAGTTCCCGCCAGGCCCCAGCACAGGTGGGACCGGCGCCCCCAGGGGTCCTATCGAGGCACACCTGCTCCAGGCAGGTGGGGCCGTCCCGCACTCCTTGCTGAGGCCCGATTCAATGGCTTTTCCTGAGAGTTGTGTCCAAGAGAGGATGGTGTCCATGTGCTAGAGAAGCAGGTGCCGGCAGCGTCAGCCACTCTTGTGGCCCCAGAGACCCACAGGGTCAGCTGCAGGAACCCTCCCACCATCTGCTTCTGAGCGCACTGTCTGAGCAGGTGGAAGAATGCCATGTCTAAGGGACTCACTACAGCTTGGTGGTGCACACCAGTTCTCGCCTCTGAGCCCCATCCCTGTCCCAGGTGGTGGGCTGTCCCTCGCCCTATCCAGAGGTCCCCCCGTCACGTCCTTGCAGGGTGTGTGGCTGCCCTCCGACTCCTCGTGCACCGAGGGGCATGAGCAGCCCAAAGCAGCATGTCCCCTGATCACACTGGGACATGGACGGGAAGAGTCCTTGGGACTCGACTAGAACAAAAACACATCGTCTGGGACCGTCACTGCACCAGGTGTTGACAGGGAGGGTGTCTCACTTGCTAGGCAGTGGCAGAGGTGTCTCTGCCCCCTTGGGAGTGGGTCACCTTTGCCCGTTGCTGCCACAAGGCTGGTCAGGAGCAGCCCACGCCAGATGTCCACCAGACAGGAGGGAGGGGAGCGTGGACACAGGGGGAACAGGGTGGAGCTGGCCCACATCCATCCCAAGCCCACACTGTGGCCTGAAGGAGGCAAGGCGTGGGATCCCACGGAAAGACCCTCGAGGGGAGAGAAGTGCTTCAGAGGGCGTTGGGGCACCTCGGCCACCTTCCCAGACCTCGCTGAGGCTGGTGAGTGACGCGTTTCATACACGGAACACTTTCTGTTGCTATTTCCACACGAGTTTTGGGTAAAGCTCTTCACAGGCACTTAGTCTTAGAAGGGCGCCAACCCTCCCCAACGGCTGTTTCCAGACTCAGACGGGGCCCATGTTTTCCTTCCCTGAGCATCTGCTCTGCAGGAAGAAAGAGCTACCAAGCACAGGTGGTCACATCTAGAGCGCTAATGCCCCTCAAACCGGAGAACCCTGAGAACCAATCATAGTTAGAAAAGCAAGGGGAACTGGAAAAGAGAACAGGACGAACGAAGAGGAGAAAGATGGTGAGAGGAGAGAGGAGGGACGGAGGGACGGAGGTTGGGGAGGAAGCTCCCGGGCCTGCAGGACTGAGGGTTTCCTGTGGATTTCTGGGGCTGGACACCAGGAAGGAATGAGTGAACATGGAATCTGCCACGATGAGCTGAGCCTCAGAAAACGCTTACGTTAAAGCTGTTAACTCCCAGAAAGACTATTCCGGTGGTGAACCCGGCCCAGCCTCATCTACAGGAACCGAAGGCCCTATTGGTGACAACAGGCAATGACACGCTTCTCCTGACTGCTGGGACCTGACGGGCCTCCGGAGAGCTACAAGGGCAAGGCTGGCAGGACGGGGGCACTCCGGGAGATCTAGAGCTCTCTGCCTTGTTTCTAAATCCACTCAGGCCCCTGGAAGCTGTCACCAACAACAGCTCCTCGCCTTAGAGGCACCAGGGCCCCGGCTCCACTCTGGCCCCAGAACAGAACAAGTCAGGGAAATTTGGCCTGGATTCAAGGCTTCCTGCCACAGAGGCTTGAGGAAGAGAGGAACACCCCTGAAGAGGGGTGACCTGAGAGGACAAGAGTGGGACCTCCTTCCTCAGCCTCAGCTCAGCCTGGGATCCCAGGACGACAGCTGCACAGCTCAAGGTCACACCAGCTGCAATGTCACATCTCAAGTGAAAGCATGAAGACCAAAGGCGATGACAGTCCCCAACTCCAGCCCCAGAAACACTGACACCTGGGAAACCTCTGGGCGCATCTCATTTGAGCAGGACAGTCAAGCAGGCTAGCTGGTGCCCACAGGGCCTTCCCTGTCCATGTGTTACGGGCAGTGAGGAGCAGAAGCAGAAAGAGGGGGTGCTCAGCAAAGGGGAGGGGTGAGCACAGAGGAGAGGCACGTCGTCGGGGGGCACCGGAGGCCAAGACAGAAGCAGCTGGAAGGGACTGTAGGAGAAGGAAGGGCAAAGAGTTTTCTCTTTCATCATCAACATCCAGTTCATTTAGCAAGAGCTGCACAGCCTGCGGCCTGCTGAGCCGTGGCAAGGCTTCCAAGCCTTGTAAGGCCAGTTCTGGGCTTCTCTCAGATCTCAAGGGCAGTGAGGGCAGCAGGCCCAGGCAGCCTATCGGGGTCCTCAGGAGAGAGAGAGGAGGAGCTGGGCTGCCAGGAGCTGGAGTGGGTCCTCCTGGCCCTCAGCCCTTGGAGATGCCGGCCGGCAGGGCTGAGGGCAGCACAGGAGCCTACAGCAGCCCCTGCCCGAGAAGATAGGCACACAGCAGCATTCAGAGCAGGGAGACACAGGCAGCAGCAGTGGCGGCCCCAGACAAGCAGAATTGGCCCCTCCATGGCCCTGCTTCTCTGCCCCATCCCGCAGGGCGGGGCCAGCCTGGGGCTGGAGCCCTGGAGGAGGCCGACTTTGGCTGTAGCCATAGAAGGAGAGAGCAGAGCAAGGGAGTTGCCCAAGAGATGGGAGGCCAGGAAGGCAGACATACTTGAGGTCAGCAGAATGGGCAGCCATGAGGTTTCTGAGGCTCTTGTCAGCAAGAGGGCAACCAGAGAGGCTGAAAGAGAAGAGATGGGACATCGGGGTAAGCCAAAGAGGGGGAGCAGAGGAGGAGAGGAGGAAGACCCACCACGCAGCACCCAGGTCAGGCTGGACCCGAGTGGGGGACGAACCTGCGGTGGGAGGCATAGTTCCCGGTGATGTGGCCACTGCCGTCACAGCCGGGGGTGGGACAGCTGGACAAAGGAAAAAGAACGTCAGAACAGAGAGCAAGGCACCCCAACCAGGCCTGCCCCCAAGCTGAGCCTCCTCAAGGAGGGCGGCTGGCACCTGCTCCCGACTTAGCCACGGGCCAAGGGGCAGCTCCTCCCCCTCAGTCCTCAGAGCACAGCCCTCGCCTCTTGGACTGCAAGTTTCTCCCACACACCTTAATCAAGGAGGAAAAAAGAACCAAATTAAGGTTCCACTTGAAGTTGGGACGCCTCTGAAGCACGTGTGTGTGCGTGCACATGTGTGTGCCCATGAACATGGAGGCAGGGAGTTCCTAGGGAGAGCCAGCTACAGGGTAGGAGGAAACTAGTGGGGTTCAGGGCAAGGAGAAGAGGAACTCCAGGAACAAACTGAGCACAGAGTGAGAGTTGCCAGGTGTGGCCTCTCGCAGTCCCCCTCAATGAGGGTTGACCAAAGGCGGTGGGATGGCTCACATCTACCAGCAGCTTCCCTGCCTTCCCATGACATCTGGTTAAACTCTGCGAGGACCAGCTCAAAGGGGACAGCCAGGCTGCCAGGGCTGAGGTGCCTAGTCCCAAGGCAGAGCACACATCAGGCCTGGGCGCTGGAAGCCAGGGCAGACAGCTGTGGCTCAGGAGAGGGCAGCTCCCTTCAGCCTTCTTCCTGCTCTGTGGACCAGAACACAGGCTCTTCCTTGTTCCTAATCACTTCAGAGCACTGTGTTCAAGCCCAGCGTGGTACAGAGATGATGGGAAACCTGTCACCCATTGCCTGGCTCAAGAGGGTTCTAGTGAAGGACACCCAACCTCCTCTCCAAGGCAGTCAGGCCAGGAGGACAGTCAGAGCCAGGCCAGGGCAAGGGGAAGGCCCCAGACTGAGCAGATCCGGTCACTACGGGCTCCAACCAGGACAAGCTCCTTTCCAGACGTCGAGATTCTCCGAGGAGGCCTGTCAGCCAAAGTGGCAACTTACGTGAGCAGCTCCTTCTTTATGTCCTTGGAGAGAAACTTCAGCTTAAAGTTGGTCAGCGTAACATCCCCGGGGTACTTCCGCTCCTCAAAATTCTCTTCCGACACTTCCTGGTCATCTGCTTCAGAAGAAGCAAAAGAATGGGCTGCTGGCTCTGACTGCAAAAAACCAGCAGGGAGATGTTTTAACCGCTGGCGGGGGCCGGGTGCCCGACCCGGGGGCTGAGGGAGAGGGACCCTTCAGAACCGTGTCTGCAGAGGCATTTTCTGGAGTCTCCTTTCTTCTGGATGAGAGAGGAAGACCTACTCCCCCCAGACATAGAAGACAGCACCCCTGAGGGGCTGGGTGCTCCCCCACCTCGGCCAGAGCTCCTGAGCTGCCTCAGGAACGAGGCTCCTGATGCCCTCCACGGCCTCGGGCCTGTGGTCACCTCCACCTAACACCACTGGCCACCTTCTGAACACAAGAGCACACAGTGCAGCTCCTCCAGAGCTGGGAGTGGCGCTCAGCAGACAGCGGGCACTAAATAAGGGTTTGTTGAGATGCTATGATGATGAGACGGCACGATGAGAATAATGACATACAAAGTGTGATAACAACAATCACAGTGACTTTGCGACTGTCTGGCCCTTCACCCCGTCCCAGCATGACGCCTTGACCACAGCGGGCACTTAATAAGTGCTTTGAACTCGAATACTGGGTCTGGAGGTGTTCAGTCACCAGCTGAGGGCAGGGTGCTGTGGACAAGGGGTGATCTAGGACTGTCCCTGCCACAGAGGGTGGGGAGCCACAGAGTCAGGAAGGTCAACGCCCTGCAGGTCAGCCTGCAGCTGCAGCAGTTACCCCGTGGGGTGGTTCGCAGTTCAGACCCCCGCGCAGGGACTTGCCGTGTGTCCCAGGCAAGTTGATCAACCTCTTGGGGCCCAGGTGCCACACCTTGAAGCTTGAGAAAATAGCAGCCCCTCACAGGACTTCTGGGGATCGAATGAGGAAGCACCCCTGAGGCACGCGCCCGGCAGACATGGCTCCCCACAACGGGCAGCGACTCTGGTCAGCACTGTGGGTATCGCCATTGCTGCTCCTGTTACTGCTGTTGAACAAGGCACGAGGAAGGTGACTCACTCGCCCGAGCAAGTCAGACGAAGCTCCTCAACTCAAGCTGAGTCTTCAGGATAAATGGGGGCTTCCCGGCAGCAAAAAGGAGAAGGCTGCTCCAGAGTGAGGCCCATGGACACTGGGGCCTGGGGTGTCCTGGGGACAGTGAGAAGGGGCTGTTGTTGAGGCGGGGGTGGGAGGTGAGGCTGAAGAGTGGGGGTGGCAGCCTTACCCAGGATGGGTCAAGGAGCCTCGGGCAGAGCTGGAAGGAGGGTCTGAGTAGGGCGTCCAGGCCGTGGGAGAGGGATCAGGATGGCCTGATTCAGAAGGCATTTCTGGGGGTGACCCAGAAGGACGTGGGGTGCCCGTGCCTAGGAGAGGGGGCTGTAGGAGGGGAAGGGTCTGGGGTTAGGCCAAGGCTTCTGTCTGGAGAATGGACTCTTGATTTCGGGGCAGAGCTTGGGCAGGCTTCAGTGGGTCTCTGAGACCTGGGTCACCCCACAGAGGACGGTGACAGTCCTGGGAGGGGAGGAGGATGCTGATGGGGAATGTGAAGGGAGAAGGGGAGGGGCAAAGCGTCCTGGGGAGACCAGCCGGGGTTGGGGCGTCAAGGAAAGGGGCAGGGAAGGAGCCAAGGGAGGGACCAAGGGGAGGGAAGGGGAGGGGGCAGACAGTCCCGTGCTGGCAGCGAGGTCGCCAGGCAAGGAAGGGGATGTGGCTCAGTCCTGGGAGCAGGAATGGAACGAGGACGAGAGCAGACGTGGAGACCCTACACTGGGGCCCCACACAGGAGGGCCCCCCGGCCTCAGACTGGGCTCCCCCTAAGCAGGGAGAAAAGCGCCTGCGCAGCCCTGTAGACATGTCTCAGGCCAGCCTCCCTCCACTAGGCTCCATCCAAGAGGTGCCCCTTGTCTGGGGCTCACTGAGCCCAGTGACTTCAGCCCGGGGCCCAGTCTGCTCTTCTGTAAAATGGGGGTGCATGCGAAGTGTATAGGGAGCCTGGCTCCCAGGAGGAACCTCCTCCTCCACAAGGACACGGCCCCACGCTCCTGGGGACCTGGCGCCACTGTCGCCCACACCTGCCCTCCTGGGGGCCCTGCCCCACTGTTGCCCACACCCGGCCTCCTGGGGGCCGGCTGGGAGAAAGAAGGGAGAGGGGAGGGACCTGCAGTATGTGGAGGCTGCCCGGAGCCTGTGCTGCCCTCAGAGCTGGCCTTGATCTTCCGGACACACACCTCTCTTTGGGGAAAAGCCCTCAGTCATCTCAAGTGGGTGGAATGATTGGAAAGGGAATGTTTCACCGTCCCCTGACCACAGCTCCAGCACAGACGCCCGGCTTGTTGCTCTTTACCAGGCGATGCTCGTCTTGAGACTCAGACCTCTGCCCACCACCGGGCTCCCGGGGCCTGGAATTTTCTCCTGCCTCTGTCCAAGGAGCCAGGAGGCCTGGAGTGTACTGGGGACAGTCACGAGGGGTAGCTGCTGGAGCCCAAGGTCTCCCTGTCTGGACAGCAGGTTGATGGGATGCCCACAAAACCAAGGAATTCAGAGTTGTCCCCAAATCCCCCCGTGGGACCTGAAAGAAGCCTTTCTCCCCGTGCTTTCCGAGGGCCCACACTCTGCTGACCGCCGTGTCTGTGGAGCTGAGAAGCTGAAGCCACAGCATGGCAAAAGGGTGAAAACCCCTCCAGGAGGGCCAGCTGAGTCCTAGCTGCCCGGAGGGTGCAGAGCCCTGCGTGGGAAGGGACCAGACCCCCAGAGGCCCTGCCTGGAGAAGCAGGAGCACTGACCCACCGCTCAGCCCCGGCACCCACCTCCTCAGGCTCCTCCTCTCGCTGGCGGCTGGGCTTGGTGTAGTCCAGCGGCCGGTCCCACTCATCCTGGCGGGAGGCCTGGCTGGACTGGGGTGAGGTCATGGAGCTGCTGGGGGCGCTGGTGCTGCTCTGGCGCTGGGAGGCATCGGGAGACTTCATGCCCGGGCTGCTGCTGCTGCTGCTGCTGCTGGGGAAGGCGCTCTCTCGCTTGCGGTGTTTGTGCATGCTCAAGTCCAGGGTTCCATTTTCGTCCACCTCAATGTCTACCGCCTGCCATTGCAAAGGTGAAATCTGTAGTGACTCCACCCCTTCCATGTGTGCCTTCTGGTGCAGGAATTCAGCGTTACAGAATGCCCGCCACTGTGGCTCCCGTGGAAGGACGCAGAGCCAAACAGGAACAGAAGGGCCTCCCAGGAGAAGCAGTCCTGCCCGTCTCCTCGGGCTCACCCAGGAGACTCCACTCTCCCTCGAGTCTCCCAACACCACAACACCAGACCCCAGAGAAGGCAGTGAGCATGGTCAGGTGAGAATAACCCAAGACTCAGAGAAACACGAGGGAACACACGTGTGCGCCACTCTCAGACTCAGGCAAACACGAGGGAACACACGTGTGCGCGACCCTCAGACTCAGGCATACACAAGGGAACACACATGTGCACGACCCTCAGACTCAGGAAAACATGACGGAAGTGCATGTGCGCCACCCTCAGGCTCAGGCAAACACGAAGCAACAGGCATATGCATGACCCTCAGACTCATGGACACACGAGGGAACACACGTGTGCACCACCCTCAGACTCAGGGAAACACGAGGGAACCCGCGTGTGTGCCACCCTCAGGCTCAGGCAAATGCGAGGGAACACATGTTTTCCCCCTTAGGCACAGCACACAGAGCTCTCAGGGGAACTCTTCCAACCTCTCTGGTCATCGGGGCCATGGCCAGGAGGGAGGAAAGATAAGAATGATAACTACCGAGCAGACACTGGGTGTTCCTGAGCACATTTCGTGCAGGGGCATGTGATTCTGACTGTAAATGCCACCCATCCGTCTTTGCCTCAGAAGGGGCTCCTTACAGGGGACTAACCTTGCTGGGCAGGTCCTGTGGCTTCGTGCTGAGGTTCTCAGGCATTTCCCAGCAGCGGGTGGAGAGGTTCAGGATGGCAGTGGCGGCCATGTGCGCAGCCTCAGCGTCGTGGGCGTAGTCAAAGCCTGTGGAAGAGGATGAAGTGCAGGGGCTGTGCCTGGGGGAAGAGGCCTTTGGGAAAGGTTTGGCTGCAAAAAGGGAACAAGACCAGGCTGATACACAACTTGAACATGAGGCGGCCACGCAGCACATCAGGGACTCTGGGACGGCTGGGAGTGCACTGGGCACCGCTACGTGAAAGGTGGGCTTGGGCCTGGGTCATTCGACCCACTCACAGGGGCCCACACTCCCCACTCCTACTTGCCCTCTGGTCGGGCACTGAGGAGGCTATTTCTGGCTTGACCAAAATTTGGGCAGAAAAAGCAAAACCCTCCAGACATTCCAGCATCCCTGATATTTCAAACCAAAACAAGCTGTCTATTGGTAAATGCTTATTGAAAGACTAAAGAATTCTGTAAATAGGAAGAATGTTTGGAATAGCACCCAAGTAGGAAAATTCTGTCACAGCATCTCAAAATCAGATGTCTGGTGTCCCCAGAATAGTCACTGCTTTAATAAAGTCGCATATTGTTCAAATAAACATGACAAGTGAAGGCACAAAATGTTGTCTTTTCTAGTAACTGTGCTGTAGCCATACCATTACTCTCAGGTGTGGTATCTCTGAGTAATCATGGCACCCCAGCACACTTCCGGATACACGGAAGCTCCTTGTGGGTGCTGTAGTGTCAGTGGGTGCCTGTGTGTGAAGCCTGAAGGCTCAGCCCTAACACATGGGAGAGGCGTTGGCGCTCCCGCGGTAATTGTGTCCATCGGTATTGTTATCACTAACACGTAGGTAACTCATCACTGCCGCATTTGGGGACTGAGAACATCCACCAGGAGGTGCCAGTTCCAATCTCATGTGCACATGGGGACTGCTTTTCCATTTCATATGCACTTCCAGGGCTAAAGGGCTTGCGACCCACAAATTAGTGCAATAAGTGACCAAAAAAGACAGGAAGGATTGTTCTCGAAAGTTTGTAAGAAGGAGGTTTGTTAGTGCAAGTACTCAGCAAATGTGTCGCTAATACCACAAACAACAGTCTCCAGCAAGGTGGTCCCCGCGCAGAAGGGCAGAGGGCTTCTCTGGTGGACCAGGTCAGAAAAGTTATTCTTAAGCCTTTGGACATGCACGCCATAAAGGACCTTGGTTCTGTCTCACAAATAGTGAGGAGATGCCCCAAGTTCGATGGTGAACATGGAGGCGGCACATGGGCGAGATGCAGACCCCAAGAAAGCCAGCACGGTGGACACCGGGGCAGCTAGGGTCCAGGCCTGCGTCCCGGCCGAGTCCAATCAGCCCCCCAGGGTACAGATTCCCTACATGCTCCTGGACGAGGGATCCCTCTTCCATCGCCCTCCAAACCCTCTACCTCCCAGGAATGGTTCTCCCCAACTTACATTTAAAGGCTTTAGGTGAGGTTTCGCTGGTCTGAATCTTTGGGGCAAGCATGCGTTTGCCAAAAACCTGAGCATCAAAACTTGCGTAATCGAAGGTGACCTTGGAGAACTTCTCCAGCTCCTTGGCCAGGTTGGCTCTGGGCGTGGTAGGGGCCACACTAGGCCGGTAGCTTCCATATGGAGGGACCTCGAGCTGCTTCACAAAGCACATGGGCCTGAGGTGCAGGATAGAGGTGCAGAACCATGAGGACAGGACCAGGGACCACATGCCACCCATCCCCAGTGCCCTACCCCACGGCCTGGACAGGGACCCCTCAGAGCCCAGTGTGGACAGAGACCCTCCCCCAGGTCCCACCATAAAGGATGCTGAGGGCCTGATCTATGTGAGGAAGAGCTGCCTGCAAGGAGGAAGCAATAGGAACCTTAAAGAAATGACGGCATGTCCCTTGCAGACAGCATTAGCCAGAGGAGGGAGGGCCTGAGACCTTCCCTCTGAACTTAGGAGAGCAGGTGTCAAAGAGCTCAGTCACAATGAGCGAGAGCCCTCAGCAGGGAGCTTGACAGGAGCCTCCCTAGGATGGCGGCCAGCCACCACAGGCAGAATTCTAGCGGCAGAAAAACAGAACCCCCAGTGGGGAGGGAGTCGGGGCATCTGGAGGGGATGTGGCTGTGTTTCTGAGCATCAGCCTCAGGGCAGGCCAGCTCCGCTCTTCACCAGGGCAGGTCTTAGCCCTCCACTGTCTTCTGCTTCAAGTCATTGAGATGGCCCCTGGGGGACTGCTGGAAGGGTTAAGGACAGGGATGGAAAGGCCACTGTGAGCATTCAGTTCATTGTTATTGAAGCTCTTGGAAAAGTTCAGATTTCTAAATGCGTAAGGGATGGCGTGAAGACATTGGTCGAGACAGCGCAGGAGCAAGGGCAGGAAGACCAGCCGTATCAACCACACAGGGTGCAGAGGGGCTCCTGTACCAGTCCACTCAGAGAGAAGGAAAAGAGAGAAGGAGGCTGGGAGAACCACCCCCGCCTCCCCAGCTCTCTTTGCTCCTGTCTCTGCACTAAGCAATGACTTCAGTCTGGAAAGGGTGGGTCGGCGAAATTAGGAAGAGGCCAATGGTGAGGACCTCTAACATGCTGGGCGCTGTAAGAACTTGAGTGTGGCCTGAAACAGGAGCCTGGGGACAAAAAGACCCTGCACGGCTCAGAAGGGCCTTGGGAAACGGGACACCACCAGAATGTGGGCACGTTTTCCTTGCCCAAGAAAGGTGGGAGGGCCTGGCTGGACCCTGGCCCAGTGACATCTGAAGAAGCTGCTGGAGAGCACTCAGGGGAAGAACGAATCCTAAACGTCACATCTGTACCATGTTTGGACGGCTTCCTCAGCCAGGCCTTCAGCCAGCAGCACAGACTTAGTGCCCACAATTCCAGCAAAGCTTTGCAAGGATTTTCCCTGCACCCCTGGGTCCAACACCCAGAAACGTGGCCTCATAGAAGGGACAGAGCCTGCACGGAAGGCTCTTGCATGTTGGCCACAGTCACTCCCACTCTGGGCTCCTCACCAAGGGCCAGGGAGGAAAATCGCGCCACCTCCTTGCAGCCTCACGAGAAGAAGCTTGAAGTCGACAAGATAATGTTGTTGTCCCACTTTTACAGGCAAATGAACTGAGGTCCAAGTTCCTGGAGGTGCAGCCTCTGAGTTTGGAGCCTGTTTGGCCCCCACCCTGGCCTCACCGGGCCTCACCAGCCTGGTGGTTTGACATTTTGTCAGTGACTTAGATCCAGGCAGGAAAAGGACCGAATTAGTAACTGACAGGAAGCTGGCAGGAACGGGAATAAGACGGAGGAAGGAAGCAGCTTCAACCATCATGAGGGCCAGCTGGTGGAAAGAAGCCAACTGGACGTGCAGAGCTGAAGGCGCCCCATGGATGGGACTGCGAGTGTGTCCCAGTGCAGGAGGGTGAGGCCCCTTCCCCACCCAGAGACGCCTCACATGGGACCCTCAGAGCAGGCCAAGGCGGGTGGCCAAGTCCCTCTGGCTGAGACTCCCAGGCCATGCCAGGGAAGGGATGGGAGGGGCCTGAAAGGGGGCAGGCGGTGGGAGGCCATCGCCCGTGTTCGTGACCACCAGGCACTGGGCTCATGCAGGGTACAGCAGCCCTGGTCTCCCACACTGTCCTTCGGGAGGCAGACGTGGAACGGAGGTCTGGAGGACTGGGGAGGAGGAAGATCTGTGGGCGTTCCAGCTCCTCAAAGAAACCAAGAGCAGGGTGTCCACTGAGGGAGGACAGCAGGTGGGGAAAGGAGAGGGCGGGGGTGTCCCCCAGCACGGCGGGTGTCGTGTGCCCCAGGGAAGCGGCCCCCCGGGCGAAGAACTGTGGTCAGGAACAAGACTCTGAAGCCAGGCTGGCAGGGCGCCAATGCCAGCTCCCCCCCAGCCCCCCCCCCACCCTGGTGAGCATGGCCTTGGGCAAGTTCTTGAGGCTCTGGCCTTATTTGTGGCACCCACTTCAGAGGCCACGTGGATGGAGGGATGCTAAGTAGATGGATTCTGTGATGAGTCATGTCCACACAGGTAGATGCACACACATGCATGCACACGTGCACACACACTCACACACATGCACCCAAGCACGCGCACGCCTACTGCTGTCTCAGAACCTCAGGGGCCATCAGGAGGCAGCCCTGTGGAGGGCACCGCCCACACCCGCTCCTCTCCCTGGGTTTAGGGCCCATCCCCGGAGTGAGGGAGGCGGAGGCACGACAGCCAGGGAAGAGCAGCTCCCCGTGTGTCCTGGACAGCAGTAACCCTCAGCTGATGCGGTCTGCTGTCTCCAGACAGGACCAGCACCGCCACGAATGAACCCCTGAACAACCTCAAGTGGTGAGACAAGACACTCGCAGGAGAGCAAGGCAGGGCAGCGTGCGGATGTCTGTGCCACAGCCAAGGCACTGGCGGACGCAGGAGAGTTCTCTGTCTCAGACGAGACTCTGTCCTGTGTGCCCCCAAAGCCGCCCTCTGGCTCTGCCCCTGGGAGGCCCCGTGGGCAACTCCACGCCTCAGCACACGCGCACATGCACCAGCACGAACACGAGCACGGGCGCGTGCAGCCCCGGGGAGACTGCAGGGCCCCTGGGGCATTTCGGGAGGCAGCCCCTTCAGTGCGGCTCCTTTCACTCACCTGAGGATCCGATCTGAATGGGAGCTATTCTTGGAAGGATCTCCCGGCTGTGGCTGTTGCTTTTCATGAGCTTTGGCTAATTTTTCAGCAGCAGCAATAGGACACCCGGACAAACTAGAGAAAGGACAAGGGGGCGGCTGGGCACTCTCCTGCGGGCCCTGCCCCTCAGACCCGGAAGGCCAGCAGGCACCCGCGGGAGCCGGGGAGGCGGTCTCTCCAGGTCTGTCCCCGACCCTCCAAGTACAGGCTGCTCTGTCGGCTTCCATTGGAGGAAAATTCTAAGCCAATGACACATGAGGACGAAATTCATCTTAAAGGCTTTCAAAGCTCTGAGCAAAGGTGCCTCCTCTGGTGGGTCTGGGTGATAGGCCTGCCCCTCCCCTCCCTCTGCTCACTCACCACCAACCAGATCGCATTCTGGACCTGTCTCCAGCTCAGGTACCATCAGCCACCTCGGGGAAGCCCAGGGCCCCGCGGGCCATCACCTGGGTGCCGACCCTGGAGGACATGGACTACCAGGTCACACCAGGAGGGCTCAGGCCCTACCTAGGAAAGCACCCAGCCTGAGATGCTGCAGGCGCAGCCTCGTCTGTCAGGCAGGGCTCCTTGGAGGTGGCGTGATCACAGCAGTGCTCAGCAGCCCAGCGTCTTCCCCTCGGAAGCTCCGGCAGCCCTATCAGCTGAGTGTGTGCCGCTGGAGCACGGGCACATCCATGCGGCCACGGCCACCCACCCGCTTCTGCGGGGTCTCAGCACACCACAGAGCAGCCCAGAGCTCGGGCCTGGACTGCTGAGGTTCTGCCACGAGCAAGAGCTGGTGTGCAGAGGTTCCCCAGCTATTGGCGGGACGAGGTCTCCACGGTTCTCACCATAGGCAATAGGCCTTTGTGCAGCACATGTCCACTCCACCAGCTGCCCTCTGGTGTCTCAGGACCCCCACTCGCAGTGGCTCAGGTGGCAACACCACCAGGTGACCACACTTCCTGGTGCCACTCTGCTCCCCTCAAAGGTCTGCCCTGACCTTGCACCCGCCCCGAGCGGCAGCACACAGAGGGATGTGGCAGGCCTGAGCCCTGTCCCAGGCCGGGCACACACAGCAGGCCCGGCCCACCCCTACACGACCCCCCCATGGCCCTCAGCATGCCCCGCTCAGCCAAGTACCTTCTGTGCGTGTTGCGGTTGCTGTTCACGTGGCCCTGGCCCGTACAGCCGGGAGTGGGGCACTTCAACACGTTCTCGTGCATGGCCAAGACTGTCAGAGAACCAGGGAGGCAGAGACGGTGAGCATGGCCAAGGAGGATGCAGGAGCCCTGGTTGAAGGCTGCAGCTTTATAGGGGTGGGGGCCAGGGCAGCTCCAGCCCCAAGCCTCAGCCTGGTCAAGGCACCTCCCCTGCCACAGGGGCCCCTGCATCCTTGGGGAAGAAACCAACTCGGCTTTAAAACCTCTAGTTGTTCTGTGATTCACTCCTCTAAACTTAATGTTCACAATTACCGCCTCTAGCCCGGAAGTAGGGAGAGCTCAGGCTCTCCACCTGAGCCATCAGAGCACAGGCGGGGACCCCCCTAGCTGGCTGACTCAGTCTCCCCCCTCACGTGCCCGTGTCTGTGGCAGTCTTCTGGGGACCCTGACCCAGCCTGCCATCTCAAGGTGGATAACTGGGCATGCTCCATGTCCCCAGCTTCATAGGGCTCAAGTTTGGGCATCTGGACAGTGCCAATCCAAAGGGACAGGGCCCTGGCTGGCCACTCCTCCGTGGGGACACCATCCAAACTCCAGAGATGGCCTGAGCTATGCAGAGGTACTCACTCTCCGGGGGGATCCTGTCCTTGTGGGGGCAGCCGGACAGGCTGCGGTGGTGAGGGTACAACCCAGTGACATGGCCAGTGCCATCACAGCCCGGTGTGGGACACTTGATCTCACGCTTCTCAGCTCTTGAGGGATCTAAACACACAAGACGCAGCAGTTAGAGGGTAGCCAGGAAGTGGGCGGTGGGTGGTGAGCAGGGAGGGGGACAGAGCAGCTCATGATCCTTCACCCTGCCTCTCCAGAGAGGAGAGTGGCCAGGCTGCCCAAGAGCCCGAGAGGGACCAGGGGCTGGACAACGAGGAGACCCTAGAGAAACTGGTCCACCCCAGCTGTCTGCGTGCAAGAGCCCTGAGACTGCCCAAACTCCCCCAAAGAGCAGGACGTGCAGCGTTTTAAAGAGGACAACATGATGGCGGCTGGCGCCTTCTTTCCTCTCTCCTGCCGACACCACGTGAGGCCCACAGGCTTTGGTGTGGGGGCCACACCTCCACGAGCTCCCACACCTCGAGGTCCAGCCTCTGCATAAAGAGGTGAAGGTATGCGACAAGGCCCCTGCCAGGACATGTCCTTTTGATTTGACAAAACAAGGAGGACAAAGTTAAGTGACTTACCACAGCCACATGACAAATAAATGCCTGGGCAGAAATTTAAACCCAAATAACAGTTACTGACCTCGTCTAGTCTCTGCGGGCCCAGAGAAGTCACTGTTGCGTGTAGGGCCAGCAGGGAAAGCCTGTCAGGACATGGATAACCCCCAGAGCATAGCCGATGTCCCGGAGAAACTCCTGGAGAAACCGTCCCCTTTCAAGTGCGCAGAAGTCACAAAGCCAGGCTCAGAACTCCCACTGGGATAGGGAAGGGCCCCCTGGGGGCTCTGAAGGGCAGGACCCCAGCTCTGCCTCTCTGAGTTCAAATGGGCAGAAAGGTGGACTGTCACCCAACGGGGCAGGCAGGGGCGTCTTGAGGGGCTTGCAAGTCCCTCCCCAACATCTGCTTCCTGAGCTTGCTCCCCTGGCTGCCCGGCCTCTGCCCCGGGCTTGCACTGTGTGTGCCTCAGTGTCAGTCCCTAAAACCAGTCCCACTGTCTCTCCCATAGCACGTGGCCTGCTTGGCACTTCTCGGTGCTCCTGCTCAGCCACCTGCCTCACCCTGAGACACTGTCCCCTAGGTCCATGCCCTCAACTGTATCCCTTAAGGCAGGACACCCTGTGTCTGGATCCCCCAATGTCTGTCCCACAGGTCAGAGTCCCAAATCTGGGCATGGGGCTGTCATTCTGTATTCCCCACGAGTCCCCAACAGTGTCCCACCAATGTCTGCACTGGCCTGTGGGCCCCAGGCCTGCCACCCCCAGACTGATACCCTAACACAGGCCCTGGCACCTGTCCTGAGCCTGTGTCAACATCTCCTGGGTTTCCTTGTGTCCGCATCTCCTCAAGGCCTGTGCTGGCCCAAATCTTAGTCCCCAAACAGCTGTCCCCTAAGTTGGTGCCGTCCTGAAAGGGTATCCCCTCGAAAGCTGTCCTCCAGGTTGAAATAATCTGTGTTCCCTCAGCTATGTCCCTCAGTATCTGCCCCTGATCTTATCTGATACAAGAGAGTATTCCCAGAAATTCTGTGCCTGGTGTCCCCACCTACCTACCAGCTGGGGGGCACCCAGAGACACAGCTCGCTCAAGTCTCTCCATGACCCAGGTGGGTCCCCCAGGGTCTGGCCCGTGTCTGTGTCTCTCCAGGACCCAGGTGGGTCCTCTCAGAGTCTGGCCCTTGTCTGTATCTCTCCATGACCCAGGTGGGTTCCCCAGGGTCTGGCCCGTATCTGTGTCTCTCCAGGACCCAGGTGGGACTCCCCAGAGTCTGGCCCGAGTCTGTGTCTCTCCAGCACCCAAGTGGGTCCCCCAGGGTCTGGCTCATTTCTGTGTCTCTCCATGACCCAGGTGCATCCCCCACACTGTTGCTGAGGCTCTGGGGCCAGTTACATACCCTCACACCTCCTCCTCCTCCCACCTCGTGCCTCAGCTATGTCTCTCTCGGGATTACCCTAGGTGTTCAGTGTGAGCCCATTTCCTCAGTGTCCACATTCTGTGTGGTGTGTGCATTTGCCCCTTATCTGCATCTGTCCGCTGCCCCCTCCCCGCTGTAAGGGCCTCCGTCCCCAGGAGGGAGGAGAGTGAGTGTGGCCCCGATTCTACCTTTGCTGCAGTAGTTCTTCCTTGTGGCATCCAAAGGCCTTGCCGCCTTCCCTGGCTCAGCGGGGCCCAGCTGGCCCTGCTCGGCAGACAGGCAGCCTGGTTCGCAGACGGCTCGCACTTGCTCGGCCTTCAGGGCAATGGCCTGCTCAAGGAGGCCCAGGTTCCCACGGGTCATCATGTCGTACATCTCCGACTCGTCTGTGACCGCGGACTTCTGGGAACGCGAGTCCTCATCCTTGCCATCGTCTGAGCGCACCTCCACTATGACCGAGTACTCAGGCTTGGAGGCCTTCTGGGTGGGGGCTTGGGGCACACCCTCCTGGCAGATCTCCTCAGGAGCAGTCTCCTCCCCCTCCTCCTCATCCTCCTCCTCGTCCTCCTCGTCCTCCTCCTCCTCCTCCTCTTCCTCCTCCTCCTCCTCTTCCTCCTCATTACCCAGGGCGACCTTCTGCTGGCAGGACTCCTCACTGGCCACACCCTCCAGGGACAGGGGGCACAGCTCCTGGGAGCGTTCGCTGGTGACTTCAATGATTTCCTCCACGTCCTCTGGCTGGATAAAGACGTCCTTTTCCCCCTCATCGCTGGTAGCTCCTTCCTCAGCCTCCTCCTGAACCAGGTGCATGATGCTGGGGCCTGGCTTGGCCACCTGGCCCAAGTCCTCCCTGACCAGGGTCTCTTCAGCTATTTGGCCCAAGTTTAGGAGAGAAGTAGCAATGATTTCCTGATAGCTGCTGTAGCTGCCCTTGGAGGAGCTGGTAGAGCTGCTGACGGGGTTGGATCCGAAATGAGACTTGACAGGACTCCCTCCTGCACAAAGTCAGAAACGCCATGTGGGAGGAGCACATGGGGAAGAGGACAGGTCTCCAGGCCTCTGATCCCCTCCACCTGCCCCACTGCAGCCTGGGGAGCATGAAACAGGGGAAATGGGGACTGGGTTGGGTGGTCTGTGTCAGCTCTTCTGCCCACATCTGGAGAGCACAGTGAACTTATTTTAGGCGGTGGATAGAGTACCCGCTACTGTATTTTTGAAGCTGAGAATTACTCTGATATTTTTGATTAACATCCTCCCCATTATGGGTACTTTCTCAAATGAGGTAAACCTGCATTTCATAAAATGGAGCTTAAAGAATACATCAGATTTTGAATAATTGTTTCATAATTGAAAAGCAGTAAACAAATTTATATATTTAAAGGACCCAAATTTAAATCCTTTTACCACCATGACTAAGATCTAGTGGGCACTCACCACACGCAGACCCTGTGGGATCATCGCCAAGGACACTCACTCCAGGAGGGAGTGAGCCAGGGCTGATGCCCAAACTCCAATGCCCTCCTTTGTGAGAAAGCAGGCGAGTTAGTCCCTTCTGCCTGGAGTCCACGGGCTGTGCACCACTTCAGGCACAGCCAGAGCCCCAGGAGTGAGGCGGGTGTGAGGACCCTCCCTGGATTCGCTCCATAATAAAATAAAAATCCATCTCAGGTCTTGCAAGGTCAGAAGACACCAGGAGCTTGGGGGAGTTGGGGAGTTTGTACCTCGGGCCTCATTCCCACCCTCAGGACTCTACAGTCTGCCAGGGCTCTTGGGGGACACAAATGCTTCTCTCCAGGGCCTAGGGCCACCTTCACACCAGCGTTTGCCAAGACCTGGGTGCGTGGACCCAGCCAGTCCTGGACAGCCCCACAGGGAAGAAGGAGCAAGCAAGGAGATCCCCTGAGTCCCCCTTCCTGGCTTCCCGGGCACCCCCACACAACCTCACCCCTGCCCCCAGGCGGCTCTCCCAAGGGCCAAGTGGGGCAGGGTCTGTCCAAGGCTCCTACACACAGACACGGCCCATGTCCATCTGCCCACTGTCTCTCACACGCACCAGACACACGTCCACAGTCACACACAGTGTTCACACAGACGCCCCCACGGGCCCCCACACTCTGCACCAGCTCCTCTCCAGGAAGCCCCAGCAAACATCAGGACAGGCCGGCCTTGTTCTCAGGAAGGGCTTTCTCGTGGCCCTTTCACTCGCTCGGATGGCCCCCCCATCCCCAGGCTGCGTGACTCCAGGCCACACTAAGCACCCTTTATTCGAGGAGAAAGAGCAACAAAGCACCTTCAGCTGGCTCAGGGCGGTGAATGTCCTCCTGTTCTGACGCCTCGTCCTCCTCCAGAGTTCCTTCCGATTCATCCGACACAGAGGCCCCCTTCACCTCGGCGTCCTCGCTGCCGTCGCTGTCCACGCCATAGCCCTCATCCAGAGCCAGCTTCAGCGGGTGTGACTTCCGCTTGGACACCAGGTGCTCGGCCTCGGCACCCTCCAGCTTCCTCTTCTTGGCCAGAGGGCAGCTCTGCAAACTGGGGGAAGAAGCCGTGTTGGGCCGCCCTGTCAGTCAACCCCCGGGTCCTCCCTTCCGCTATTCACCCTCTGCAGCCACTTTCCCTGGTGAAAGTTTCTCTTTGCAGCTCATCGCCATCCCTCAGCTGAAGCCCCAAACTCATGACTGGGAGGCTGATGTGTTTAAAACTTACACTAATTGTCCACATTAAAAAGCTCCTGATTGTGCTTTAAATTGCATTTCCTGCTTCTCTGGAAGACCTAACTTCAATGCGGCCGTCCACATGGAGTGGCTCCCTCTGTGGTGGCCTGGCCCTCGTCAGACCAGCCGCTTCCTCCCACCAAGCAGTGCCCGGGGCCTTCCTTCTCCACTCCAGACCCTCACACCCTCATCCACGCTATGAACCTGGCAGTGCAGTGGTGGGCACCTGAGGTCGGGCTGACCCCGTGGGGGGATAGCAGTGACAACTGGGTGGCAGCTCACTCTGATCACCCCAGCGTGCACCAGGTCTGCTCTGAGCTCTCCCACACAGTTAACAGGGCCGAGTGGGAGGACACTGCAGCTCGGCAGCCTCAGGCAGAGATGGAACGTTCTAGATCCATGAAAGGGCCCAAGTGGGAAAGGGGCTCCAACACCCCAGCAGCCCAACCTCTTTCCCAGGGGCCTCGGTGAGGGCCCGCAGGCCTCCTTACCTGCGGTGCCTGGAGTACTTGCCCCGGATGTGTCCCAAGCCCGTGCATCCTGGGGTAGGGCAGCTGGGGAGACAAGCAGGAGCCATCACTCTGGAGTCAGGCCCCACCTGGCCTGGGGAAAAGGTCCAGGTCTCGGCCCACCCCATTCCCTCACCCTGGAGAGCAGAAGATTGTCTCCAAACAGTGTGTCTCAGAATGGCGGCTTGCAGTTTGCTAAAAATTAATGAAATAACTCACTCCATTTAAATAAATGAATGGCTCATTACAATTTTATAAGTGTGTTTAATTAAAGATTTGTATGTATGAGATCAAGACTTCCAATGTCGGCATCTCCTGGACGGCTTCCTTTTTCCCAGAATAAGTCTTTCCCTCTGCAGGTAAACTGCCACCAGGCTTCCAGGGAGCTGGGAAACAGGACCCTCTGAGGTGCCTCAGAACCAGCGTCTGAGGCTGGCCCAAGAGCAAAGCACAAACCCTGGGGTCCCCATGGCCGGATCCGGTGCTTTGAGACCTGCAGCCTTTCCTCTGGCAAACGAGCCAGCACCGCCAAGTAAGAACAACTGTGCAAACACGCCAGACAGGCCGGAGCCACAGGTCTCCAGCTGGAGGCAGGTGCAACATGGCAGTGAACACCCCACTCCAGAACCTGCGAGCTGGTGTGGGTAAAGCCAAGAGGACTCGTGACCCAGGAGATGCCTGTGAGACCTCGGTGGGGGCGACACAGGGTTTCTTGCAGCTCCCACCCCGGGGCTGGCATGGGGACAGAGGCAAGACCCCAGAAGCACCTCACCCCCCACCATCATCTGTCTCACCTTAGAAACAAACCATGGAAAGCTCTAGAAACCTCTGACCATGGGCGCGGACCACGCCACCCAATCTGCCTCCCCAGGAGTCGGCTCCCCAGGGCAGCAAGGGGCCTGTGTGGCGTGTGAGGCCAGGGTCCTGCAGGCTGTTGGGCACATCCACAGACCAAGAATTGCAAGGAGCTGCCCTCACTCCATTTTACGGAACAGCAAACTGACAGCCGGCAAGATGGAAGACCTGTCAGAGGTCTCCCAGAGGCAGGGGCCGGAGCTCCTCCTGGGAAGACGTCGCCCATGGTCCCCCGTCGACGATGGGAAGACCTTGTTTTTAACAGGATCAGTGTAATGGGGTCTGAGCTCCCCACCTCAGATCATGCTTCCCAGAGGCTGTGAAGGATGGATGGTGCAGGCCCACCGACCTAGAGGCTCCTGGGACCCAGAAAGGGGCACCCCCCTCGACCTCTGCCCAGACACCCCCAATGGTTTCTAATTTGATTGATCAAGGGCCTGACGGCAGATGACTGTGGGGCCCAACTGGTCACGCAGGCCACACTCACTGACCAGTCAGGGAGGAAGAGCAGGCTGCAGAGGCAGAGCTCCACGCCCCCAGCTCAGGGCCTCTGGTTGGGACACGCCCTGCAGCCCTCCGTGGTGGCTGGTCTCAGTCTCATGCTGATTTCCATTGTGTTTGAAAGAAGAAAGGAAAGGAGAGAGGGAGGAAGGGGGAAGGGAGGACGGGCCATGTTTACTGGGAGTTTCCTTCCCGGACAGAGAGGAGTTGCCGCTGCTCCCGGCCTGTTTGTTCTAAAATCTATGGCCCACCCTTGCTTTCTCTCTCAAGAGCTAGCTTTGAGACTTTTCACAAAAGCTCCTTGTTATTGGAGATCTGAAGCTAAGGTCCCAATTAGTTGATTAATCACTGAGGTAATCAGGCAATTAGGTGACAGCTGCCGTGGAGGCCTATGGGGCACCGGCACTGCCCCTGAACACGGCACCTGCTCCAAGCCACACCTCCGCCCACCAGTTCAGAAGAGTCCTGGCCTCCAGCCCGGTGGTGGGGGGAGGGGAGTGCGGGGGGTGCCAGTGACGCCCCCAGCCCCAGCCTCAGAGGGCAGCAGAACAGGCAGTGAGCCTATGTGTGTGGAGCTGGTGAGGGTCACTCTGGGAGAGGAAGCTGGAAACCCTCAGACCCCTGCTCCCCACATGGCAGCCAAGGGAGCATCCGGAGGAGGAGACGTGACAGCGGCCAAGGCCCCAGAGGCTGCAGTGCCGGCAACCTGTGCCTCGTGGCTCACACAGCTTCCCCCACGAGCACCCCAGCACGGGGTTCACTGACGCCCTCCATGTACTCGGGGCCGGGGGAAGCGTGAGGAAGCAGCAGGCCCCTGGAGGCCCTCCTCAGTGCAAGGGAAGAGGCAGGCCCAGCCAAGCCTGCACCCTGGACCCCCGGCATGGCTCCCTGCGTGGAGCAGACACAGGGAGATGGGCAGCAGGCTCTCAGAGGGCCTGCTCACAGCCCACACTGAGCAGGGCCCTGGTGACCACTCTGAGGGGCCAGATATGAGCGACAGGTGTCATAGGAAGCCCAGACCGAGGCTGGGAGAAACTGAAGCCCCACGCTTCAGCTGCGGCCCTGGAAGGGACTGGCTTCCCTCCGGCTTCCTGGAGGCAGGTAGAGGACCCCCCACTCTCATTCGTCCCCTAGGTGGGAGCTGGCCAGTGGCTCATGGACAAGGCCCTCTGGTGAGGATGGACGGGCTGGGAGAGAACCAGGATGCAGGTGTGGCAGAGTGGTGTCTCTCCCAGAACTTGGAGTTGGCCCCGAAGACGTTCCCGCTCCGAAAGGGGTCCGGCCACTTCCGTCTACAGAGGAAGGGTGCCCCCTGCCACCTAACCAACACCCCTAGCAGGGCCACCATGAGGCTGTGTGACAGCAGAGGGGCCCAGACTAAAACACAGTGGATGTGTCTGTCACTTCTTCACTGGCGCAAAGGGAAAACCCACCAGATCTGTTTGTTTTGTCTCCGGCCCTCAGTGCTAAATTCAGGGCACGGTGAAACTCCAAATGGGCTCCGGAGGTGGGCGAAGGCAGTCAAGTGTCCTGCGTCTTCCAGGTCGATCCTCTCCTCAGCTCACCTCGGAACACGGCCCTCCGCCGCCCCGAGGATAAGTGGCTTCCTGGAAGCTCCGCTTGAGCTGGGGAACGGACAAGCTGCGGCGGCGGATGGGCCGTGGGGCTCTGGGACAATGAGATGTAAGCCCTTCTTCCGCAGAGTGAATCCTGCACCACAGAGCTGCACTGTAGCTCGGCCCCCCTTCCAGTGATTCCGCAGGAGTTCATCCAACGTCCTCTCCAGACCACAGAAGAGTTCTCTCTGTGGGTCACTCTCCCTGTGCTGGCGCCCACAGTGTGAGCCCCACCAGGACAGGGGTCTCGTCTGCTTGTCTGTCCTCGGCCTGTGGTGTCCTGGAAGGGGAAGAAGTCCTGGCTTGCAGTATCTGCCCGTTCCTGAGTGTAAGTGTGCCCCAGGCAGCCGACGTGCACAGTCACAGAGTGTGAGCCACAAGCACACCACAGGTCACATCCCCACATGTCGCCTGTGGAAAACACGCGGTCGTGAACCAGGAATAAACAGCACCTTCCATGCAGAACACGTGCGATTGTTTGACACAGTCTGTTCCATCTTACTCTAAGCATCGATCCTCAAAAACTTGAAGAATTGGTGAAGGTGTTGTTGCTAGAACATTAAATGTCAATGCATTCGCCCTTAGTTTCTCCACTAAAAAAGTTTAAGAGTCTCACTAAGTAAATTACTGACTAAATAGGTTGAGACTACAGGAGAAATGAAGGTGGACAAAATCCAGATGCTCTCATAATCCCCCACTTACACTGGCCGGGGCCCCTCTGAGAATATTTCAGAACAAGTCTATTTTTTTTTTTTTTTTTTTTTTTTTTTTGTGAGGAAGTCAGCCCTGAGCTAACATCCATGCTAATCCTCCTCTTTTATTTTTTTTGCTGAGGAAGACCGGTCCCTGAGCTAACATCTATTGCCAATCCTCCTCCTTTTTTTTTTTTCCCCAAAGCCCCAGTAGATAGTTGTATGTCATAGTTGCACATCCTTCTAGTTGCTGTATGTGGGACGCGGCCTCAGCATGGCCGGAGAAGCAGTGCGTCGGTGCGTGCCCGGGATCCGAACCCGGGACGCCAGTAGCGGAGCGCGCGCACTTAACCGCTAAACCACCGGGCCGGCCCAGAACAAGTCTATTTTGAAAGTCATCTCTGCTTCCACTGTTTCAAAGTTGCAGGAGAACGCCTAGTCCTTTGGGTTTGCTTTCCAACTTCCTCCATAAATTCATCTGTTGCCAAAATTAATTGCTGTTACAAGAAACTGGAGCTTCCTTGAGTCCTGTGCCAGCCTCCTCCCTCTCATTGTCCCCAAGATATCCCCAGGTGAATGCCACATGGCCCAGGGGAAGCCTTCTCTCCACCCTGTGCTCTCTGGCCCCTCTGAGTATTGCAAGGCATCCTTTCCAGTGGTCCAGCCGGTCAGAGCGTACCTCCCCTGCAGGCAGCTGACCCAAGTGCTCAGGGAAAGCATGCTCTGTGGAGCCCACAGGGGCCTGGTTTGGCTGCCATTCCACACTCACCCGTCCCACCTGTGACCCAGGACTGGGCTTTGGGCAGTAGATCATATGATTCAGCTCTTCTGGTTAGATAAACTTTAACTCTCTGAGCCTCAGTTTCCCCATTTCACAACGGGATAATAATACCACCAGGCAGTACTTCCATGAGAATCTCTGAGATCAAGACTGTACTGTGCAGCCATTGCAGAGCTTGCCACATGCATGGGGCTCTGAGCATCCAGCCTGCCTCCCAGGTCCCTTCCCCTTCCGTCTCCAAGTTACAGTCTCAAAGATTGGAGGTACGCTGGGACACTTTGAGGTCCTCCTGTTTTCCTCATTGGCAAAAGCCATCCATTCAACAACTATCTGGTGAAGAATAAGGCAGTTCCAGCCCCAGATTTGTTCGGGTTCAGTGAGAATCTTTACCCCTAAGAATTAAGAAGCAGCCAATGGCCTGGAACCATGCAATTACATGGAGAAAGCTGTGCTAGGCTGGTGGCAGAGGGAGCAGAGAAAGAATAGCATCGACCCTCAGTAACTAGAATGTTGTATTTGCCTCCATCCAGGAGTCTGGGAGCTCATGGAAACTTCCGTCGAGTCAAGATTGTCACCTCTGACTCCTCGGCGTGGGCGGAGCATCTTACCGATATACCTATCTGCTGTCTTGGGTGCTGCACCGCGGTGTACTCAGCACCAGAGCTGCTATGGGGAAGGAGGGTGGGCTCGGAGCCCCTTCACCTCTCCAAGGACGAACCTCGGGCAGGTTGTCTCAGCCTGTTCAAGTCCAGCCCCGTCTCACAGGGAATTCGTGAAAATTAAATGGGGCACCCAGTGCCCACCCGGCACATTGTGGACCCTTGACAAGCACCACCTCCCTTTCTCCTCCCGTGTTTTGAGCCAGAATGCATCGGCACTACCCCTCCTCAGCAAAGGGGGGAACGAGGAGCGGTTTTCTTTGCTGGTCACTGGACGCCACTCATCAGAGCTCTGAGCAAGCCGGAGGCTGTGTGGGGCAATGTTAGGACAGCCTCGACACATAGGCATCAGAGCGGCTTTCTCTCTGGCCTTCCCCCACACACAAAGGCTTTGCCCAATCCCAGGACAGAAGCCAGCCGGCAAGGGCAAGTTGACCTCCCGGAAGGAGAGCCTGGCCCCTCCTGCTTGAACCAGCAAATCGCTGCAGCGGGCTATCCTCCCTCCTCCCCGGGGCGCTCAGCCCCTGTGAGACAGGACCTGGAATTTGGAAAGTCCCTGAGCTCAGCCGCTGCAAGACCGCCAACACACAAAACCACCGTCTGCATCTTGAGTCAGTGGACGACTCAGGACACGGAACAGCCTGTGCCCTCACCTCTGGCTGCACGGTGCCGCAGACCATCAGACCCAGAAGCATTGGTGAGAGCCCACTAATACAGCCCCGTATTGCTGGCTGGGGCCCATGGTGACAGTCAGGTCCTGGTGGCAACCAGGTGTGAGCACGGCTGTGCCTCTCTCAAGAGGCCGGCTGCGTGGTGGGGCCAGGACAGAGGTAGGAGAGGGCAGAGGCAGGGCAAAGACAGCTAGACACACGGTAAGGAGAAAGCGGGCCTCATTAGGGCACGCAGGGGCTTGGGCGGGGTGCAGTTCGCCAGTTGGAAGTGCCCAGTGTGGGACATTTAGGATGCCCAGGGTCACAGGCAGGTGCAATGCTCGGCACTAGCAGGAAGCCTTTCTTACCTGAGGTCGGCACCTGCAGGCTCTGGGGGAGCTGGGTGAAAGAAACAGAGAAACACGTGGGAGTTAGAATAGAAAAGGCACATTGCCCTAACAGCACAGATAGAGTGAAACTCGAGGCAATCCCAGTGAGAACTGAACTCCATCTTTTCCTGACCTCCTAGAGTGTCCTCCAGGGTCTAATGGAGTGAGCTGTCTCCTGCGATGCTCACACCAGACCCTTTCCACGAGGAGCTGGCGGTTTTGCAGAGTGGGACAGACGCCCACTGGCGGCAGACTCCCTGGGCCCTCAGGGCCAGGCCAGTATCTCTTTCTCTAATTATAGGTGGAAGTTGGCTTCTGGCTGGAAACATGACCCCACAGATAAAGCTGGTTGGAGAGGAGAACAGATGGGCCCAGTGGCTGGTCCCTCAGTGATGGGGCCACTGGGGGCAAAAACATGCAGGGGTCTGACTGGGTCACACGTCTGAGAAGCTCAGTGCTCCTTGCCCCACTGTGAGGGCCACCCACGCACAGGAACGTCGCCCTTGCCCGGTGTGTGCCCTGAGGGTCAGGGAGGCGAGGCTGGCCAAGGGGCTGGGCTCCGTCCTTGCAGACCAAGCAGGGCGTTGGCCCCTCTCTCCTCACCCCCTGCCAGTTCAACCCAACAACCTCCCGGTCCCTGCCAGCACCAAGATAGACGTCCTGGGAGGCAAAGAGCCTGGTGATGGAAGGCTGGCAGCCTTTCATTTCCAAATAGACCGATCCTCTAACTGAACTTTGCTTCCCCTACTCTGGAACTGTGTCTGCCTCTTTGTCTACACCCCAGGCAGGTTTGTCTGGGCCAAAGGCCCCTCAGCAGCCCTGTCATGCACCCTGAGGCTGAAGAAGCCTGAGGCCACCAGACGCCTTAGAGCCCAGGTGCTCAGCACAGGGGAGGTTGGTCCCAGGGCCTGAGCACTGCAGGGGGTTCTGTTCCCGGTGGAAACTTGTTGGGGAAAGTGGCATTTATAGCTTTAGGACCCAGGACTCTTGGCCAGAGCCGAGCCTTGGACTGCCCAGGCCAGCCCCAGCCAGGGGAGGGCGGCACTCACCTCGGGCCTTGGATCGCGTCCGAGCTCGCTTATCCTCGCTTTCTAAGCTCATCTGCAAAAACAACTACTATGTTAATGGGAAAACAGCACAGAACCAACCTCAAGCGCTGTGCGAGGACGTCCAGACATTTGCTGGATCAAGCTTTGAAGATAAAGGTGAATCCCTGACACAGAATGACAAGGAATAGGCTCACAGGGTCTGAGATGCCTGGGACCAGGAGCAGCAAGGGGGAGGTACATCAGAGTGGAGACCACCAGCCCCAGGATGAGTCCCCATCTCCCGCTCCCGGCCCTCCTGCTGGCCCCAAGTTGGCACCGGAGGAGGAAACTGCAGGCGCGGTGCCCCATCTACCAGATCATCAGTAACGTTGGGGTTTCATAACACGGGGTCTCCTGGTGAGACTGAGGAGCGCCCCCTGCTGCTCACCGGGCTGGCAGGTGCTAAGGCTCTAGGACAGGTCGCCCACCACGTGCCCCAGATCCCGGCTTCCTGTGGGAGTTAGTGCCCCCAACACACCAAGGTGGTCCTGTTAGAAACAGGTGGCTGGGACCCCAGCGGGCCTCCATGAAGCATCCAGAGACAGATAGCTTCAATTTCTACCAGTGCTGTCCCAGGAAGAGCCCGAGGAGAGGCGGCCTGAGCTCAGGGACCAGACCGTCCCCAACGTGGGACTGGACACCCACCGTGTGTGTTCTAGATGCAGGGGGGCCTCCAGGGCACCACTGCCCGGTAGATAGAGTGCAAGTCATGCACGTCATTTTAAACTGTCCAATAGCCACGTTATAAATGTAAAAAGAAACAGGTAAAGTTAATTTTAATACTAAACTTTACTTAGCCCAATCTATCCAAAACATTATCATTTCAGCAGTAATCAATATGAAAAATTATGAATGGGGTTTTGTTTTGTGCTCTTAGAAACCCCACATGTCTCCTGGACTCAGCACGTCTGACTTTGACCAGCCATGTGCCGAGTGCCTGTGGCTGCTGTGCTGGACGGCACGGCTCCCAAGGCAGGAGGCAGTCTCTGGTGAGAGCCAGGCTAAGGCAGGAATGCAGGCCAAGGGGTCATCTGAACCCGACCCATAGGCCACCCTTCCGGGGATGTTGCTTCTCCCAGGAGAGGGTGAGTGGAGCCTCCTGAGGGGAATGAGGCCCCCTGTACAGTCCAGACCCCACAGGTCCTCTGGCCACCCCACCTGAGCGCTTCAGTGCCCCACCCCCACCTACATTCCCTGCCCTGACCAACCTTCACAGGGGATGCTGCCCGCACTGTCCTGCGAAGGAGTCAAGGGAGAGCCCCCAGGAGAGTGAAGCCTGTGGACAAGGGTCACAGACAGGCCCAGGGCAGGGGAGATGCCCCCAGGAGCTACAGGTCATCACACAGTATCCTCGACCTGTGTCACACCCGACAAATCCAAGCAGGCAGGTGACTAGGAGGTAGGAGGTCAGTGGGAACCACAATGTGCTCCGAGTCTCCAAGGGAGAGAGGCCAGGTGGGGGGGTGCACCCCACGTGCCCCAGGAGGCCCCAGGAAAGCCAGGGCTCACCACCTGTCCCCATGGTCAGGAAGGTAGGGAGAAATTCCACCTGATCCAGGCCACAGCTGAGGCTGTCAAAGGGAACGCCGACAGTGGGCAAGTAGCTGGAGAAAGGAACGAAGGGCAGCAGAAGCAGGCTTCAGTACCCCAAAGCCAGAAGGAGACAAGTGTCTAAGTTACCGCCCAGGAAGAGAAAAAAAAGAATTCCCCCAACTGGAAAGATGAAATTTGCAAAGCAAATCTCCCTCGTGGGCAGCACTAACATATAGTGATTTATGGGATTTGTTACGGAAGAAAAATCAAAACCTGGAGTAATTTACACAACCTCTCTACTCCAGGCTGCAGAGCCACGTGCTACGAGCCGGGCGTTTATTACGGCCTTCCAATAGCACAGAAGACAATTACTATAATTTCTATTTTTAAAGCAGAGGTTCCCCATGGACCAATGGCTCACATTTAAAAGAGAGAGAGAGAGGAGCAGGTGTCAAAGGGACTTCATTACATTTATGAGCCTTCAAATGTCGTCTGCGCTGAGCCCGGGCCCAGTGCCTTCCGATGCAGCCGCACAATGGAGCTAATGTGTCTGATTGCTGGCGCCTGCTTTCAGCTGAGATGCAATCTACGGCCTCTTTTTTTTTTTTTTTTTTTTTTGTCAGTTTTCCCAAGGAAATTGGCAAGCATTCTGCTAGGTTAAAGCGTGCCTTGGCAATTTGGATTTCCTGCAGATAAATTATTCAAAGAGCAGAGAATAGAGAGGGTTGCAGGGATGTGTAATGGGTGCTGCTTGCAAACTGCGAGCTCCCGTTGATGAAGCTAACAGCTGTGGCATTCATTTTGCCATTTCCATTTGCAATTTATCTGCATCAAATGGTCAATAAGTGAGAAGTTCTCTTCAGCACATGTAGCTTTGATTTTGAAAGGGGAAAAATTGACCTAGGGTAAGCTCTTTAACACGAGAATGAATTTGTAAGAGCCGGATGACTTGGGACATCAACAAGGAAGCAGGGAAACTGACTTCTGAGCTGTCTGAAACCAGCAGTGGTGGCTGCCTCAGAAGCATCTGGGCGAAGCTGTGATAAAACCAGCTCTGCTTGATCTGCATCGTTTTCCTTCTTGTGGGGCTCAAAGCTCTTCAGAGGTGGGTTCTCTGCTGTCCTCATGCCCTCGACATCGGTGCTCCACGTTGTGGATGGAGAACCAGTGCCCGTGGCAGCCCAGCACCACTGGGCTCACGAAGCCTGGCTTGCTGGCAGCTACCCAGGGCCTTCTACCCCCCCTTTCTGTCCCCCACCACACAAACAGAGGCCACTCACTGATGCAAAGACAATGAGACACTTCCCAAGTTTTCACTGACTTATTTTTAAAAACCTTTCAATTGTTCCAAGCACAAACCAGTCAAGCCCCTATTTTTGCACAGCCCACAGAAAACTAAATGGCCTCTCACCTTGAGGGTGAACAGGCCCCCTCGTCACAGCCCACTCAATCCCCACTCCCACTGTGAGCCAGCGAGCTCTCTCGAGAACATCATCTGCACTGTTTCTGTAATGCCAACTTCATTCTGCCCCAGGAGTGTGTCTCACAGCTTCCCTGCGCTCCTTAAACCGTCTCTTCGCTCTGATTAATATTTCAGTACTTCTGTCTTCAATAGGAAACTATGTGAAGGAAAAAAATTTACAAAGGCAAATGCATCCTGTTTTGCCACATCTATTAACCAGACAGAAGTGTCTCTGCATCCTTCCATTTAACTTGCTTTATTACTGTCACGTAATGGTGATCTCACGCAAGAGGGTGTTACTACTTTGTTCTGTTCTCTATTTTTTAGTAAAGTCAAAATTAATCACATAAGCTCTTTTTAAACAAAACAGTTCTCACAATGACATGCTGCGAAGACCAGCCCCTTTTCAGATCGGTCTGCACAGCACCCTTGCAAAATGGTTCCCTGAGGTGGACATTTACCAACTCGGGGACCAAAAGAGCAAAGGCAGTCAGCAGCCTGGAAGTCCACAGATTCACCTGGACTGGGCTGTGGTAACGGGAGATGCACTCAGAACACAGACACACAGCCAGTGACCAAGCAGAGATGCTGGGCCCTCTCTCTCAATGTCCAGAGGTTTCTCATGAGGTGTCCGAGACCCAACAGGCTTTGTGCCCATCTTGACCTCTACTCCCAGAGGCCAGATCTGCCCCCAACCCAAGTTCACAGATGTCTATGGTGGCCTCTGGAGGTGCTGCTCCCCCCCAGCTTTCTCTTCCTTGCTCACTCACTCATCCCCACTCTCCCTGTCTCTGTCTCTATCTCTGTCTCTTTCTGTCTCTCTGATTCTCTCTCTCTCTCTCTCTCTCTTTCTATGTCTCTCTTTATTTCTCTCTCTTTCTCCATCTCTCTCTCTCTGTGTCTCTCTCTGACTCTCTGTCTTTGTCTCTCTGTCTCTGTCTCTTTCACTCTCTTTTGTTCTTGGTTCTTCCTCGGCCTTCACGGCTAAAGAGCTTCCCTCCTCTCCACCCTAAGCCGTGTTCCCGACCTTCTGCACGGATGTCTAAGGGCTGGACAAAGAACAGAATCCGTGCTAAAGCCTGGCCCTGAGCAGCCTCAGACCTCACCCTGCCTCCCCTGCCCCTGCAGGGTGTCCTGGCCCGAGTAGCACCAGCCTCAGCGCCCTCCCCCTCCAGGGAAGTGTGTAGGGGAGGCTCAAGAGGGAGGATGCTGCTCGGACTCGTGAGCCTGGGTGGGGGTGGGGAGGCTTGGCAGATCAGACTTGAGTACGTTTAGGGAGAATGGCCTCAGGGTGGGAGGTGCTCCAGACCCGGGGAGCAAGGATCATCCTTGGGTGGCCAGCACCTCTCAACAGTCAGGCCTGTGCCCTCCCTCTTCCCACCCCTCTCTCTCACCCTCCACCCTGTGCCTGCTCATTTCCCTCATGGTCCACATCTCGATCTCGTTCATGTTTCTGAAGTCATTGTCTCTCCTGCAGAGAGCCAGCTGCCATGGCCTCATTCACTGCTCGTATTATGTAAGAATATACACATATTACGTAAGAATGGACGGACAGACAAATGGGAACAGACAGGAACATCTCTGAGATCCAGGAGCTGGAGAAGGGGCTCAGCAGAGCCCGGAGCCTCAAGCTGTGCGGGGGTTCCAGGCCCCTGAGACCACGGGGGACATTCACCCCCGGCCCTGGGCTGGAGGAGGAGACAGGTTAGTGTTTCATTTTATTTAGAATGCATTCCAACAGTTAGCAAAACTGGAGAATTAGAATGGACTTAGGACAATGTTTTAAATCCACAAGATTAGACGGATTACAGTGTCCCTATGGGAGGGTCGAGGTACTTTCCTCCTGGAAGACCTTGACGAAGTGGGGGGAGCATCTGCTGACTCCCAGGAGACCACAGGCAGCCCTGCCTAGAAGGAAGGGCAAAGGGACATAACAGGAGGTGGCAGAAAACCGGCCGTTGCCTGCCCCATTGGCTCCGACAGCACCTGCCCAGACTCCCCTTTCTCTAGGGGAGGAAAGGGGTGGAGGATGGGCGATGGTCTGGGCTTGTTTTAGTCTCTTACTTGTGCACAGCGGAGGGCAAAGCAACTCGCATACCACTGCTGTGAGGCCCTTGCAGCAGAGCCATGGCAGATCCATGTTCCCACCACGGGGAGAAGTTCCACTTAAGAACTTAAGAGCAGCATTCACGTATGTTCCTTGCTCCCTCTCCTCACCACACATTCCAGTGGACTTCTTCAGAGCCCCCCATCCCCGGTCCCATTTTCTGCACAACCTTTCCGGCTTCCCTTTCTTTTGAGCATGTACCTGCATGCCGGATCAGGGATCAGCCCGAAGAGCAGACTTCTGCTTCAAAGATGTAAAAGTTCTGCTACCTCAGGACCCCTCAGCACACATCCTGCTTTCCATTCTCTGATCTCTGAGGCTAAACCACATGCCCACACCCCTGCACCCCCTGACACCCTGCACTGCATCACAGCGAGAAGGGTCCTTGCAGTGACAGCTCTGTCCCCTCTTAGGGGATGTCCCACTGTGTGTCTGAAATTCTCCTGACATTCCACCCATTATTCAACCCACCGGCAGCTGAATAGACCAACCTTCTCGCTGGGTTGTAGAGAGGACACCCCATGGAGCATTATTTAACACATGTCTTGGGAGGGGTTCTCCTGACAGCTCTAAGCACGCAATTGTGGCTCACTCCAACCCCCAAATTAAAAATTATAGCTACAAAATAGACACCCCGATATAGCAACCATGTCTGGGTCCATCTGTTTAAAACTCCAACATAAATGGAATTTCTACCTACCTACCCAGGGGTAGAAATCTAGCTACACCAACTGAGGCAGGTCAGCAAGGCCACGCCTAGTGGTACCTCCCTCCCTGGTCAGGAGCATCCACTCGGGGTAGCAGGAAGAAGGCTAAACGTCCAGGCAACCAACCTTCTCCAGATTGCATAGCTCTGCTCATCCATTGAATATTATGTTACTCGGGGCCCAAATGTTTCATTCTTCAAGGTCAAGAAGAGGTTTAAGGAGCTACCATCAATGACGACCTCTTTTCTCCTTAAGTTAAAAAAAAAAAAAGCACAATGCCCAGCGATGCCTCCAAAAATACAACCACCAACCTTTTCTAACAGCCCCTCCCAAACCCACCTCTCAGCTGTCTACATGCCTAGTGCTGAACTCAGAGGCTGAACCAGAGGCAGGCAATGACCACCTCTACACAGGCCTCCTCTGCTCCCACTGCTGCCCAGGCTCTGAGCTCCTCGCCTCACCCACCCCCTGTCTAGGGCCAGTCCCCTCGTCGCTGGCTGATTCTCTGCTCTCCCGTGACCACCGCTCCCCCTGCACTGTGGCCTTCTCAGGCTCCTCAGTCAGAAAGCGCCACCTGCTAGCCCCACAGTCCTAGAAATTGACCCTTTCACAGGCACATCCTCTCTCCTTCTCGGCCCACTCTTCATCTTAGCGTCTCTGCTCAGAACAGTAACTCAGGCCCTACCTGCCCAAACTAGAGGAAAATGACTCTAATGGAGCAGTTGTGAAACAGCCGATGCTGCGGGACCACCTGAGTGTGGGCCATCATGCTTGTTCGTGGCAGGTCTCGCACTCTCTGAGCTTGTCGTGCCTGAACCACAGGGAGACAGCAACACTTCTACCGTCCCTCATATGCTCCAACAATTGTGGATACGCATCACCCAGAGCCCCTGACCTCAAATCAAGTAACTTTTTCAGTCACATGATCTCTTTGTATGCCCAGGGCTGGGATGGGGTGAGGAGAGTGAGGTATTTGCCCAGGTACAAATTTAAGGGGGAAGCAAAACCTCAGTGATCAAGATAAATAATAGTTTAATGTAATATTTTAAAACATCAAAATTAACGCAAAAAATCCATGAGGAACAAAAATACCAAAAATTTAAAGAAAGACAGGATCGGAATCACTGACTTTTCCTTTTGCCTCACGCTGCAACAGGGCTCGGCAAAGCACTGATCGTCCCACAGGAACAAAAGCACAATGAGTGCTTAACGAGGCTCTGTAACAGACCCCCTAAAATGTACATTCTAGTCACCAGACTCAATAGAAGAATGTTGGGCTGCAAGAGTAAAGTATAAGCACCCTCAAATGAGGCTGCCGCCTAAGACTTCGTAGCCCTTCCGTCCACGCCCTGGGACTTCACTCCTTGGTGGCTGTGCCCCAGGTCATGGCTTGGATCCTTGATGGAGAGAGTCTACATGTCAAGAGAATGAGAGATCAGAATCTGGGATCTGGGAAGGGATGCCCATCAAGCCTGCTGTCACCTCCACTTCCATCTCTGAGGGTCACCAGACCCCAGGGCACACCATGGGAAGTTCTAGAATGAAAGCCTTGGCGTGGCTGTAAGGGCCTGTGATATCCTGGGTTTGGGAGCACTCCTGGGGTCACCTCCATCAGCAAGTTCTAGGCAGAGGTGAGCAGGGCAAGCCCCATCTGCCGCCACTCCGGCAGACGGAAATCAACAAAGTCAGCAGACCTCATGGACTCCTGCAGCAATGTCTATCAGGGACGCTCAGCCTGCCAAGCTAACAGCAGGGAGGATAGAGGGCAGTTACTGAGGATGTTAGGGAGCCCGGGTGTGATTGGACCTCAGAGCAGGGACCTGGGCGGAGGTGAGATTTTTACAGTGTTCTGTCACTGTTCTCCCCTTGATCTTACAGTGGCCGGGTCACTGATGTTCCTGCCCCCAATATCCTTTGCCTGAGCTGGACTGGTGGTGACCAGAGCAAAGTCACCTCTGTGCTCTCAAAGTCGCTCTCTGGGGGTGAGAACCTCTGCCCAGAGCTGGGCCAGGGCGAGGCTGCCCTCTGAGCACCTCACCTTGCCGTGTCTGCCCAGGAGGAGTCTCGAGGTCCTGCAGCTGTTGGCCTTGTCTCCGTGTGTCCACCTCTGGCTCAGCAGCTCGCCCCGGAACTCATTTTCTGAGAATCAGAAAAAGCAAAGATCATGAACGCCCTCTGTTCTAGCTCAGGGGAGAAATCGAGGAACTCGGGCCGCTCTTTCACACGGCGTTTATACAGTCCCCCTTCCCCCAGAAAGACGCGTTAAGGTCACGGCCCCGTGGCTGCTCCGGGGACGAGAGACAAGAGCTCTCTGAGGAAAGCCACTCTGATTGGGACACTCCTCAGAGGCTTCCAGTCCCTGCGCTCCTGCACCATCGTTCCAGCTCTGGCGGATGCTTTATGGGTGTGGTGCTCCACCAGCTCGGCCACTCCAGCCAGGGGGCTGGTCCAGTCAGACAAGGTCTAATGCTTTGCCTCCCTTTGCTCCGGTTCCTGGCATCCTTCCTCTCCCCATGTCTCTGCCTCTCTCCAGGGCGATGCCTCCAGTTAATATTTAATTCCTTCCATAAATTCACACTTCGAAGCAGAGGCCCAAGGCATCAGCTGGACATGACAAAGAAATGCATCGTGTACCTATTCCCTGCACAGCACTCCCTGTTTCTATGACAACCAGCTTTCTCCAACTGCAGCGTTTCAAAGGAAGGTAACCAACAATAAAAACAGGAAATGCATTTCCCTGCCCTCTGCTCTCTGCTCCTCCCTGGAAGTGAGTCTGGACTCTGCTGAAAGCAGGTCGGGCACACTGCTGTGGTACCCGTTATCTTTCTTCACCTCACGATTCTGAGGTGCGTCCCTAAATGCTGTTTTTCTAGAATTCCACCACTCCTGCCTCAGGCAGCTCTGGCCACAGCGTCCTCTTGTCTGGAAATGCCTCAATCCCATTAAGGGCCTCCTGTGACCTCCAGGAGCACAAACACAGAGGGAAGCAGATTGGTTGTCAAGGAGACGGCCTAATGCAAGGTCTTCAAAGGAATGGATAAAACCAGCAGGATTTGGCACCTACTGTGTGCCTCCCCCTCACTGAGCTATGGGTCACCTGCGGGGGACCCCTGTGAGGTCTGGCCTCGACTAGAGAGGTGTGAGTGTGCCGCCCCTCCCACCCCTGTCCCCAATGGTCATTAGCATGCTCTAAGTGGGACCAGGCCCACCCACTGGGTATTCAAATTACCAAACCTATGACAGGAAAGTGGGGGTAGCATTTGGGAGTCGCCCAGAGCCCTGAACCCACAAGGAGGATGCTTCAAAGTGCATGACAGGGGAAGAGGAAGCAGATAGCCTTGCCTCGTGGGGATGGAAGAGAGGAAATTCAGGAGGTGAATCCACAAGAACCATGCTGGCCACGTGATGTGTTTCACACTCGAAGACGGGGTGAGAGTTCTTCTTGCATCTACAATGGTGAGGGTGGAAGCCGTGAGACCTGGGCCACAAAGCACATGGGGTTCACTTTCCCCACGCACCTCCCAGGAGAGAAGACGCTGCGGAGACCTGCGCGCTGGGCTGATCTGCAAGGCTCAACAGAATTTCTTGTCACGGTCACCCATATAAACGTGTGCGGTAACTGGGGCACGTCTGCTGACAGCTGGAGGGAAGGACACGAGGTCCCAGGTCTGTGCTGCGAGCAGGGCTGTTCCCTCCCTCTCGGCTCCCGCCCAGTGTGACTCCCCTGCGCTCCTTCTGCCCCAGGTCTCTCTGGCTTCCCTGAGAGGCCCAGCAGAGGAGAACTGCGCAAGTCTCTGCAGAGGGACCTCTGCTTTTGTTTGATGGGAGGTAACTGGCTCCCAGGTGCTTCTCCACGCTCACCTGCCCTGGGGCGTCCGGAAGTGAAGTCTCGAAGGTCAGCTCTGACCCCCAAAGCCCCACACCTGTTCAGGCAAAGCACTGAGGCCTTAAGAACATCTGCTCCAGCGTCGCTCCCTCTAAACAGCCGCTACCGCCTCCTCTGCGCAAGAGAGCAGAGCCATGCCCTGGCAATGACTTTGGCTCCTGCAGAGTGAAGCTAAAGAAGGCACACCCCCAAGACCAGGGTCTCATTCACAGGACCTGGCTCTACCGTGAAACAATCCCTTCCTTTTCTTGGGAATTTTTTGGTAGCAAACTATAGCCACTACTAGAAGCCCAGTAAAGCTCACCAGTGCTTCTCCTTCGCTGGGAAACAACTGAGGGACCCTCTTGGTCTCCAGCTGAGACCTGCATGTGGCCAGGCCCCACTGCAGACAAGACCCCTCCTGTCTGGACACACGAAGCAGCCAGCACCCCAGCTTGCACAGAGGAAGCACGTGAAGCCCCCACATGCCACAACTAAGGCAGAGTCCCCAGGCCAAAGGAAGGCCCTGCACAGAAACATGAGGGGCGTCCCATGAAGAAGCCCCTCCATAAGTCACGCTGCCTGTGGACACTCAGCAGCGGCGGGGGTAGGGCGGGGCAGAGCAGCTCTGGCTCCTGCTCCCGCACCTGACCTGCGAGTCACCTTCTTCATCCACGAAGTAGGAGGAAAGAGCCATTCAGAGGTTTGGAACGTGTGTGAAAAGTGCCCTCTCGGCGGCTGGTGCACAGTGAACACGTGAAGATGTCGCTGCCTTTAGGACCAGGAATCCGAAGGGAGGAAGAGGTTTTCCTCAACACTCACCCTTTCTTTGGGTTCTTAGGTCTCTAATGGGTTCATCTGAGTCCCTGCTCATAGACGGACACAAATAGCAAAGAAGCCACTTGGGAGCAGGTGGCGAGGACGGCGGCACTGGCTGTGACCTCTCCTAGGGCCCCTGTACTGCGCACCCTGCCTGCTCCAATGCCCCAGCGCCTGTCCTCACAGAGGCCCCAAACTCATGTTTACGGGACTCTGGAGGGCAGACAAGCTCAGAAAAGCACCCAGGGCCTGTTGGCAGATGCACGCACGTCCTTGGAGTGAGGAGTCTCCTGGGAGATCAACTGGCGGCCTCCTCCCTGGGCCAGAGCCCTGACCCAGGCCACAGCCCGCCCGCCCCTCTGCGATTGATGCCACTTTCTCCAGCTCAGCGTCCCTGCAGACCCGCGACCAGCCCAGCTGGGCCTGGGACGCAACATCTCTTGTGAAACTGCAGCACATAGGCCTGGAGCCAGAGTACTCACCCCTCCCGCAGTGCTCCCCCGCAGGCATCCCAGAGGGACCCCGCTGGCCCACCTGGGGCCCCCGGCCCGCAGATAGCACACGCTTCTCCCTCCTGACACAGGTGTCTGTGGCCACTTCCAACCCCACTTCCTGGAGGGCCCCACGCAGAAGGCTATATCCTCCTGGAGGGTTCCTAGACCACCCTGAACCCAGCCCTGCCCCAGCACTGACAGCCCGACCTCTTCCTCGGTGCCAGGCCTTCCCCACCACCTCGAAATAAGAACAAATGACAGGAAGGCTGAGGGGGAGAGTAACTGTGGGAAGTCAAATGTTTTCTGAGCCTCACTAGGTGTTGTGTCTCTGGTGGCCATTGGCTGCCTTTGAGCCGGGAGCTCCTACTATCTGCCCCCCAGACAGCATGCAAACAGGGAAGGGGCTTCACACGGAGGGAGCCCACGTCTTGGCTCTCCCATGCTCCCACACCTAGCAGAGACGCTCACCACTCAGTGGGACACGTCAGCCCCCAGCCTCATGCCGCCTGTCCCCTACTCTGTCACCAGCATAGGGAGGGATCTTGCATCCCTGCCAAGCCAACCTTTCCATCTGGGCTTGATATCTCCTCCTTCCCAGCACCGATTAAAAGTTCCCAGAAATACCAACAATATCTCATATTCCTCTCGAATATTTCGCTCCCTCTCAACTGGACCCTTCCTGGGGCTTTTCAACTCTTCAACAAGCTTGAGGAGTTCAAGTTTAAAAAATACAATCCGTCTGGACTCCACACCCCAGCCCCGCTACCTCTCCATCTCTACCCACTTCATACCTGCATTTCTTAAGGGACTCAAACTTGCTAACTGTGTTCTTCACTCTCCACTCCAACTGGCCTCCACCTACAGCCCTCCACCAAAAAGCGGTCCTTGAAGGGTCACCAGCAACGTCCACCTCACATCCTCATCATGCACCACTACACATTTTCTCCCTCCGTGTGGTGGACACTCCCCACCTCCCTCTGCATGTGAGCCTCTCTTCCATAGCCCACGTAGTCTCCTTCTGCTCCCCGGGCCATCCCACCGCCTCCTCTTCTGACTCCCATCCCTGATCATAACATCTGCTTCCTGCAGGACTCAGCTTTTCCTCTCCCCTCTCAGCTATCAGCTCCTCGAGCATGAACACTGGGGACTGTCCTGGGTCCCAAATCCTGCCACTGTTATTTTCTGAATCTTGCCAGAATCTGACCATTTTATGACCTCTCCAGCTGTTTTGTTTTGTTTTCAAAAATTGAAAAACTGATTGTAAAATTCATAAGGCAATTCAAGTAACACAGAATAGCCAAAACAATGAAGTTGAACCCCTCTCACACCATAAAAATTAACCCACACTGGATCACAGATCTAAATGTAAGAGCTAAAACTCTTAGAAAACATAGGAGTAAATCTTCCTGACTTTGAGTTAGGCAATGGTTTCTTAGATATGAAACCAAAAGCTCAAGCAATAAAAGAAAAAATGGATAAATTGGTCTTAAAGTTTAAAACTTTTGTAAGTCAAATAACACGATCAATAAGTTGAAAAGACAACCCATAGACTGGGAGAAAATATTTGCAAATCATATATCTGATAAGGGACTTGTATTCAAAATACCTAAAGAACTCTTAAAACTCCATAATAAAACAAATAAACCCATTTTAAAATGGGCAAAGGGTTTGAATAGACATTTCTCCAAAGACAACATACAAATGGTCAATATACTCGTGAAAAGATGCTCAAAATCTAGTCATCAGGGAAACACAAATGAAAACCACAACGAGACACCACTCCACACCCACTGAGAGGGCTATAATTTTTTTTAAAAAACAGACAATAACAAGTGTTGGAGAGAATATGCAGAAATGGAATCCTCACACATTGCTGATGGAAATGTGAAATAGCACAATTACTTTGGAAAACAATCTGGCATTCCTCAAAATATTAAACGTAGAGTCACCATATGACCCAA